TATTACTTACATGACTTTGTGATATAAGTCTCATTGACCCGTAAATGGAATGGTTGTTGTTGTTGTCGTTGTTGTTGTTGTGAATTAGAGTAGTGAGTGGTAAAGCTAGTAGTTCTTTGTGTGGTGGAGAGGAGAAAACTAAGGCTTGATTATTCATTCTACTTAGATTATAAGATCAGTTCGGTCTTCAACAATAATCCGATGTGGTGTAACGGCTAACATCGCCGTCTTTCACACGGCAGCTCGGGGTTCGATTCCCCGCATCGGAGATATCTTTTTCGTGATCTCTTTTTTTCTGTCTTGTTTCTAAATTCTAAATGAAATAGCGATGATTGATAACTATGGGTTTCCTTTCCCCCGATCCTTTTTTTGGTCTTCGTGTGTGTGTGTGTGCGTGTGTATATACATAGTAGCTACTTACTTTCTCGCTCGACTGTCCGGTGCTCTGCTGTTGGTTCAGTTATCTGTCTGTAACTTTTCCATTGATTATCAATGGGTGTAGGACCATAGGCTGGTTTGAGTAGTGTCTTTTTGATTATCTCCAAGCAACAAGGCAAATTAATAACTACAGTACATAATGCAAAGTCGTGATATTCACATAATCGGGGGGGTAGAGATATGTAGATATAAGGGGGGAAATGATGACCAAAACGGAAATATAAGGAAAAGGGAATTTCATCAATGAGACGCGACTCGGCGCGTCATTGAGTAAGTAAGAGCGTGATGCGGGGAGGATGAACAGCCACTTCAGACAAAACTCCGAGGAAATCAACAAGGAAAGACAGTCGAAGGTTCGTAAGAAAAACCGAGCAACGCAGTAGGAGGTATCATATGGTAAATCCCGGAAACACGCCCAATCTCAGTATCCAAGCAGTGGTTCCACCTACTGGCGGACTATTTGCACAACTCGCTAACCTTTAAAAACGATATATCGCTCCATGAATAAATGTGCACTGGTTAGAAATGTGGAAAAGAAAAAAGTCCCCCGATTTGTAGGTTTGCTGTTATTTTTAGTCTTCCTCTTTTTTTTTTGGTCGTTTTAATGTGTTTGGTTCATAACGTGGGGCTGAAGTCGCTCAGTCAATCATCATGCGATTCGGCACCTGGCCCGAGATGTTGGAAGACAACTCAGTTGTCTTCTCATCCTTGTCGCGGGACTTCTTCTTGTGCACGTGCTGCTTCAGACCCTTATGGAAATTGTGCATGCAGATGCAGGCGTTGATGATCGTCAGAACGATCAAAAGAAGTGTGATCACAGCGAAGAATGTCAGAGACCGCCGGGCGGGCAGGTACTCTTGATATGTTTGAGGCTGGTACATGCGGACCAGCTTAAACAGGAAGTAGGCCATAGCCGCGAAGTATAGAAGCTGCGATACCCAGTTAGAAGATATTCAGACCCAGTGAAGGATACTATAACGTACAATGACGATAATCATTCCGATCGAGCTCTCTCGCTTGACGAAGATCGCAGCGCAAACAAGAATGAGAATGGTAACGGGAATGGCAGCCGTTGTGAGACCGAATTCAACATCCGTCTTGTTCGTCACAATGACAAGAAACTGGACCGTGAAACCAAGGAAGAAAAAGAAATCGAACTTCAGCAGAGCGATATAGATCTAGAAAGCTTGTTAGTTAGGTTCGGGTCCCCACTTCGGCGGGCATGCAAAAGTACCTGATATGTAAGATACCGGCGCTTCATTCGCAGATCGGCGCTGATATGCTTGTAGATTGACCATGCAAATTCATCGTAGAGCTTCCAAGCGATAATCATCATCAGGACAGAGCCCATGGCAACGACGCACGGAATGATAATCAGAAAAGGCTCCGTTTCCCCCCACACGTCTACCGTGATGGCGCTTTCGGCCACAAGCATTTCGATGGAGTCCTTGATCTGCTGGACTTGCACCGCTCCGTAAATCAGAAGACCGAGGTTGCACACGCACAGACCGATGACTTGAATGGTATTCTTGAGGCGTAGAGCATCGTAAACGAGGATCAACTCATATATAAAACCGAAACAGTAGAGTGCCAAGAAGGTTGTTACAGTCTTTGATGCAGTCGAGGGTTCACCCTTGGGAAACAGTTGGATCTGGAAGTTTGCGAAGACATAACTATTCGTGCGGTAGTCAGCATAACCACTCGGAAAGATTCAAATCAACGGTTATGAAGGCCACACTTACGACTCGAGGGCAAGGGTAATGATGGTCTGGACGAGGGTAACGATGCAAAAGGACCAAGTCCAGAGCGAGTTTGGCCGATACATCCTGTGTCGCTTGGGGGGATTCGGAGGAACATTCGTATACCCTTCTCGGGCACGGAAACCGCGTCTAAAAGATGGATCGAAAGTGCCCCCGAGCAGGGAGGCCCGCGAATTGTGGGAATAAATCTTGACGAAGTGCTCCGTTACGGAGCTGGTGTCCGTCGGAGGCTCAGGATCGGGATACAATATGACGGTTCGACCACCCGACGGCCGCGACAATATGGCAGAGGTAGAGGATCAAGGATACAGGTTCGCGAACTGGGGAGGTGACAACCTCAAACTGTGCGGGTTGCGGCCGAGGCCTTGTTTTTTGAGGTTGTCAGGAGGGGGATTTCAGGAGGTCGGGGTTCTCGAAGATGACGAATTCTGAGAGGAGGACGACGACCACTCGAAGACAAGCGTATAAGCCACACCAAGCCACACTTAAGACGGGCTAACGGGGCGAGCGGAGGGTATCTTCGCCCGGAGACTGGCTGGCTGCAGGGTGAAGGAGGAGAATGAGAAAGTCTCGGGGGGAGGCCGTAGGATTGTTAAGCCGTGATGCAAATGGTCGTGTGTTACACCCTTGGGCGGGGAGGCTCAGTCCGATGATCGATGGTTCGGGATTGGAGGGAGGTCTGTTGGCGTAAGGCTGAGCACCTGCGGACTCAATACCAAGGCCCAGTGTCAGTCGGAGAGGGCAATAGGGAGGGGGAGAGAGAGAGACTGAGGGAAGGAGAAAAAGAAAGAAAAGGGAATAAGGAGTAAATGCTGTAGGAGATGAAAGGGGAAGAAAAACGAGTGTCGGGGGGGGAAGGAGGAAGTATGAATGTGAGAGGTGGAAAAGAAAGGCTGGGAGAAGAACGATGGAAGATGATGAGTGGAATGGGAGAGAGAGGGAAAAAACGGGAGGCTGCTGTCAAGCTAAGCCCGAGATGTGAATACGTAGTAGTGAACCAACTGACAGAAGAAGACAATTCCAAACGGATTGATTACTCACGCACTTTTTGGAGGAGGAGGAGGAGGAGGGGGCTGCTTTCCGGTCGGGGGAGGCGTATGTGGCATCCAGGGTTCAGCTGGAAAGTCCAGACACAGCAATGGAAGGGAAAAAAGCGGGAAAAGGCAAGTGATGATCACAGAAATCAGCAGAGGGTTGGACGATGCTCAAGACTAGACCAAACCCACACCTTACATGACAACCAGGTTTAGTCGCAGTCAAGCATATAAGCGACGGTTTAACGGCAAAGCAAAATGTGCCAGACTCCGTCCGTCCTGGGCCCCAATTTTCTTCTTCTAATTTTATGATGGGTTTTTTATCATGGCGTTCGGCTTATACGCGGGATAAGTCCATCCTCCCCAATGAGCCAAGAAGCTTTTAATCTACCCACGGTAATTACGGGAGCACCTGGAACCATTCATTCATAAGAAAATACTCTTCTTCATTCCTCAGTCCTGATGATCCAAAAGAATATCTTCTTCCGCTTGCTATTGCTATGGCTGATTATCTTCTCTGTTCCTTTTCCCTCCTTGGGCACTGACTGCTTCTGCTCATGTTTGTTGTGGTGATGAAATAATCCTTCTAATTCGGTGTTGTTGTTGATTTGTTGTTATTCGTTATTCCGGGTCTCCGAACTGGATCCCGTGCCTGGGCTAAACTCGAGAGAGAAAGGAACTAGACTCGATTGTCTCCTGAATTCGTCGCGTCGCAGTGGGTCGGACCCATGGACCGGCTGCCTTTTGAAACTTGGGTTCCCGATTACGATATTATTAACCCTCTAGTAAAATGCCGCGCGTTACCTCTAATTCTCAAAGCCCTATTATTACTTGACTATCGTAGCTCCAGAAATTCTGTGTGCACTTACTCGCATCTTGCCCCAGAGGGGCGGCGCATCCGAGCTATACACAGTCCATCGTAGTTAACTATCTCGCTGCTTGCCCCCAATTTGTTGGGGCATTCAAAGATCGCATTGATTTGGGGAGACTTTCCTGCCCAATCATTGAATTAATTAATTATCTTGATGCTTCGAAGTATCAGATCTGTCTAAAGATTTATTATACTATCAGCCGAGTGCAGCAGCTCTATACCGTACACACCATGGCAATGGATGTGGGGGATTGTCAAAGTTCACAAGTGGCGGAAGAGCTGCAAACCAACGGCTCGCAAGAAAGTATAAAATAGGCAAGCATTGGAATCGGGGGCGGCAGGAGATCCATATCTATAAGAAGGAAGGCACGTAGAATGCGATCTACATGAGAATAATCCACGATCATTTCATATTGGTACACATGCCCACTATACGATTTCTTTGACCAAAATTCATAGAAAAGAAAAAAAAAGTATTCACCATATCTGAATTGTTGTACACCATACAAGCCAGAAAGATCCCGCATCCAAAAGATCTAGGACTGGGATGTCTTAGGCAACCATTCCACTGTTTACCAACTAGTTATCTACCACAGTCAACAGTGTGCAGACTAGATAAACACTGCACTGAACTACCTCCCCATCGAGACTAGCGCGCGTCAGACGGCTTCCCTTTGCCCCGGAGATGGAACGGGGCCAGCCAGAATTGGGGCCAAAATTGTGGTGGCCGGCTCAGATCAGACCAGATCCGTGGCTCAGCTTCCTGAAACCTAGTACAAAGTGCGGTGTCACTCGTGTGTGCATGGCAGTCTCTGCAGGGTCAGCAATGCATGGTTCAGCCAGGCAAGAGAAAGAGCTATGCATCTCTGCCTTGCTTCTGCATGAACCATGAACCATGAACCATCGGGAAGAGGTCCAGGTCGATAGGATTTGCCTTAGGCAGACGCATAACGACATTCAAGCCTCTTCTCACGCCGGGTTACGTACCCATCTAACCTTATTGTCGGAGTCGACGCCGAACCGACGAATTAGCTAGACTTGATAACGTGTATACACAATAGCGAATACGAAACAGAGATCCTCCATCTGTTTGAGAACTTCATTGCATTCCGGAGACTCCGGTCTCACCTTAATGCAAGCACAAGCACCAATGCAGTTCTCAAACCAAAGTGCTGAAAGCCACAGGTCTGTGAGCCCATCAAATCTTCTAAGATAGTGGCGTGTGGCTATTTTAGTGCGCATTTCCCTTCCCCTTGCTGCTTGCTCCATGTGCCATTCGACCTGCTTAGTGCGCCCCGGTGAAACAACGGCATTGTGCGAAGCACCCAAGATTTTCCGCTGTCACAGATTGGGGCAGTATTGCTATGGCGACACAAGTCATTGAAGGTCCGAGTCTTCTCTACGCTTTACAGCTTATACACTCTAGCCCGGCGAATGAAGAATCCGTTCTAATTGGTTGTCATGTCAGGAGAACTCTTCCAACGGCTGTCGCGTCTATGTGGCTGCCTGCCAGCGGTCCTGGAATGGCATCCATGGGCCGGATCTCTGCCGGTTCAACTTAAGAAAGAAGCTTCCACGTGAGTGGCGGGTAGACAAACAAGTCTGCTCCGCAAGAATGGATAATTCAACCGCGCGAGGCCGAACTGCTCCACAATGTTTTCAGGGACACGCATAGGGCTCGTGGTTTTGCCCCTTTTAGCCGTAGACTAGACTATCCGTCCCTAAAGCATCACTTTGTCGGAGCTGACCTGCCTGATTGTGGAGTGGAGTCAAGATCGGATCCAAGGTTCTGGATGGCGCACAATATATCTAGCAGTCTACAAACTTCGGACCTTGGATCGTCACAACCTAGCAGCTTCAAGGTCTAGAACTTGCAGTGGAGAGCGATGGTGGAGGGAACCGTAGGCCAGTGGTGCTCAGAGCCTTATTTCGTAATCGATCAAGCTACATATTTATGAAGTCGAAGAAGAACTACTGAGGCCACAGACTAGCTTAGCTAGCAGTAAAATTGTATTATGCGCATCCATCACACATGAGAAGGTTCAACGGGAAGAAAGGAAAGAAGACAAAAAAAAGAGATAAAGAGAAAAAGAGAACTCCGATGCGGGGAATCGAACCCCGAGCTGCCGTGTGAAAGACGGCGATGTTAGCCGTTACACCACATCGGACTTGTTGTGTAAGAAGCACCCAACTTATGTTATATTAGCCACTTTCTTAGACTATAGCTCTTGGCATTACCGTAAATGACGGTACCTTCCGCCAGCTGGAAATCGTGAGCGTGGCCTCTTTCTGGCATCTCGCGACCTCACCTCCCGGACCTCCTACCAGTATCTCCTCCTCTTCTACTTCTCAGCCGACTCCTTCCCTCTACACCGGCCAATTGCTTCCGTGCTTCTTGTTGTCATTATTGTTTAATTCAGCTTCACTTTCTTTGATTTGTATCTTCTTGAATCTCCATATTCTTCAAAATGGTGAGCACCCTTGTCCTGCCGATCCTCTTGGTTTCTATCGTTGTCCAAGCGAACTGGACCAGACCATCGACGAAATCGTGACGACTACAGTCAATCAAACTCATAGCAACCTGATCTAACGTCTCTATTCTCTTCAGGCCTCTCCCCGTGCTGCTTCTCCCATGACCTCCGGTGCTGAGTCCGGTCCCGACTCCAAGTCTGCTGGCGCTGGCACCGGCGCCTCTGCTGTCTCCTCCGTCAACCGCCCTTCCTCTCCCACTCCTCCTGGTGGTCCCCGGGCTGCTCTGCGTCGTCGCGCGGCCGCTGACCACAAGGAGTCCCTCCGCAATGCCAGACCCAGCTCGACTCGCGCCGCCGGTGCTGGTGGCTCCTCCGGCACGATGCTCAAGCTCTACACTGACGAGAGCCCCGGTCTGAGGGTCGACCCCGTCGTTGTCCTGGTTCTCAGTCTGGGCTTCATCTTCTCCGTCGTTGGTCTCCACGGTAAGTGTTCTTCCTGGGCAGTCTTCGGATGGTTCAACGATCTCTAACGCGCATATCCAGTCATTGCCAAGATCACCCGCAAGTTCTCCGCATAAGCCGCTGAAATGCGACTTGTACTCTCGTCTTGTTGCTGTCTCCTGATTCTATAATACGTGATATGTCTGGCTCGTGTCGAATGATTCGGGGTTGCGCGCGAGATCAGCAGCGCGAGGATCAAGCGAGGCCAGCGAATCCATCATCCGACCTTTTGCCCTTCGATACATATACCCCTGATGTCCCTTGCCTCTTTCTCGTGTGTGCTGGTAGTGGGGAAGGCACATGCCGATCTTGTGCTTCTACAATTGGTCCAGATCTATCTGCAGTATAGGATGGAACAATCATCGCTATAAAAACATGCCGTGCACTTGTGCCCATCAACCATTAATGGAGAGCCTAGTTCCGTGAAGAAATGCGTTTTGTGTAATATAGTGCTTGTCAATGAAATACGAGACCCGTGGAAGCGAATCCTGTCCCAATTCTTATTTTATAATTCCCACAACCACTCTCCATGTTCCTCATAATCCCCGCGCAGCAATCACCCCCCGAATCTCCCCAGCCCTCCTCACCAACTCCTCCACATCCTCCACCTCGGGCCCAGGCAAAGAACTCACATACCCAGGATACACCTCCCTATACACCTCCCTCTCCCCACCCCCCTCATCCTCCCCCGTCCCATAAACCGGAACCAACTTAACATGCGCATAATCCACCTCCAACCCCTCAAACACCATCCCACACCTCTCCACCCCCAACGCCTTCATCAACACCCGGCCAACCGTCCACGCCGCCCCCACCAACCCTATATATTCCTCTTCCCCGAGCGCAAATATATCACTCCCCAAATGCCTTCGTGGCACTAGCACCGTGAACCCGGGGGTGTTCGGGTATGGCGTGAGAAACGCCACGTGGGACTCATCCTCCCAGATACGCCATTGGGGGTGCTCCGTGCCGCGGATTATGTTCGCGAAGAGGTTGGTGTCTGTGGAGGGGCCGTGGAAGGTGTAGTTTGGGGTGGATTTGGTATGGGTTATGAGGGTGTTAACTAGGTGGGTTAGTTGAGCCGAGGGCATGCGGGGGCCGGATTTGGATGTTATGTAGTTGGGGTTGTTGGGGTGGAAGGACGTTTCGGGACTTAGTATGGGCGTCCAGGTGTTTGGTGAGGGGAGGCCGTGGAGAGGGAGGAGGGAGATGGTCCTGTTGCCGGAGGTTATTAGGGCGATGCGGGAGGTGTGGTAGGCTTGTTTTAGAATGGGGGTTAGGGTGCGTAGGGTGAGGAGGGTGGTGGTGAAGGTGGATTTGGGGAGGGAGAAGAGGGTGGTAGTGGTGGTGGTGGTTAGGGTTGCGAGGGTGTGGCCTGGGGTTGTTGGTGTGGGTGAGAGGGTGATGGTTAGGTTGTTGGTGCGGTGGATTTCGGTGGTCATAGTGTTGTTGGTGTAGTGGTGTTGGTAGTAGATGGTTTGGTTCTGGGTGTGGTGGGCTGTGGATGTTTATGAGGTGATCCTGAATAGTGGTTATTACTAGTAACCACTTAGTGCTGATGTTATGATTGCTTGGTGAGTCATGCGAGGTTTACTAGCAGTAACTGGACTCATTGTATAGTACTATAGTGATGGGGTGATGGTACTACTGGTCAGGTCATGACAGTGATTCTGTGCCAGTCTAAGAGGGTCAGAGGGAAACTCAATAGATCATGTATATATACTCAGTGCAGATCTAGATCACTGGCTACACCGGCGTAGGTTAATGGCATATTTATATCATCGGCACCCCAATCGTAGATTGTCATCACATTCAGGATTTCATCAGTACTCGGTAGTAGCATCGAAATGCACAAGCGATGTATATTATGTGCACACACTCCTTTCAAATAGACTATGATCCAATGGCACGAGATAATATTTATTGTACTTAATCCACATACCAAGAACTTAACAGCCTAAGGTGAAGTACACGTGGGTGACATATCCACAAGCAAGGCCTGCCCTACGCAGTACGCACAGTCCTGAGATCTGGCATATATCAGATAAACTAGGCAAGATCAATTGTTCTTACTCAAACACCCACCAATTACAGGAATCGACGAGTGATGGAAATTCCCCGGTTTCCAAAACCACGAGCAGTGGGGAAGACCCCCAAAGCATTAGTGGCAGGATCGAGTAAGTAAACTAAGTAACTGATAGAGCGCTATCATCAAGGCTGCTCCCTATAAAACCATAAACTCTTGGCAAAGAGAAGGTTTGCACCAACACACCAATCCATGACTTCGCTGACATCCTTATCTGATAGTCTACGGTTTCTTATCATCGTCCGCTCCCCACTCGGACCAATGGGCGTCATTGCGCTGACCTCCGCTGATAAGAAGCATTTCCGCCTCGCCAATAAGCAGCCCGGACCCGATACGTTGATAACCCACTTGGGGTTCGGCTGTTGATTTTGTTGCAAAGAAAGTGGAGAGGGCATGGGATAATCCATGTGTATGCTTATGGAACTGTGGAACGATGGCACTTACTCGATGACTCGGTACTAAACTCACCTGCCGCTAGTCCACTGCCATTGATGTTACACCCCCATCTGATGAAAGCACATTACGAAACGGCCACCAGGAGTTGCTCTTATCAGCCATTCGCTTCCCCAGGCCTGACTCCTCGGATCCAATGATATTGGACTGGTAGTGATTCATTCAATATGAACTTACCGCCGATCACCAGCGTGTCTGCGAGGTCGGAGATTTCTCAAGGGTCCCGTGCCCTATATGTTCTTGCCCCTGCCGCCATGCTCAGGGCCTTGTCTCCTTCAGTCATTGTCCAGCCATAGCAAGGCATCGTTTCGCGTGTTCAAACACTGCCAACATGTCTTCAGACACAGTCACATTCACAGCGCCTCTCTCGCAAGGGTTTGGCTATGGCATCATCATTGGTCTGGGCTTTGCCTTTGCCCTGCTCATGATCTTCATCACCTGGGCTTTGAAGCGGTATGTAATCTAATCCCTTTCCAAACGTGGATTTTCTTCAAGTATGGGATCGCAAGACTAACGGCTCTCACATAGATACCAGAATGAAGTGCAGACATCGGAAATGTTCTCCACGGCTGGAAGATCAGTCAAGTCGGGTTTGGTTGCCGCGGCAGTCGTCAGTAGTTGGACATGGGCTGCAACTCTTCTTCAGTCGACCACTGTGGCCTATGAATACGGCATCTCGGGTCCATTCTTCTATGCATCAGGTATCTACAGCCAGCAGCAACACGCCGAAGGCATTCTGACTCGGTGATACAGGTGCTACAGTCCAAATCATCTTGTTCGCTACCCTGGCCATTGAGCTCAAGCGGAGGGCTCCAAATGCGCATACCTTCCTCGAAGCGCTTCGTGCTCGATATGGAACCGTCGTGCATGTTGTTTTCATCGTCTTCTGCTTGATGACCAACATTCTCGTTACCGCCATGCTGCTGACTGGTGGTTCTGCCGTCTTGACGTCTCTCACGGGGGTTAATACAGTTGCTGCCTGTTTCCTCCTGCCGATTGGTGTCGTGCTCTATACCCTATTCGGTGGTATTAAGGCGACGTTCATCACGGACTACATGCACACCGTTGTGATCATTGTCGTCATCTTCATCTTCGCATTCTCTGCCTATGCGACTAGCGACAAGCTTGGATCTCCGGGAGCTGTCTATGATGCACTAGTAGCAGCATCGAAACTTCACCCAGTTGAAGGCAATGCCGAGGGAAGCTATCTGACCATGAGGTCAAAGGAGGGTGGCATCTTCTGGATTATCAACCTGGTCGGCAACTTTGGGTACGTTAGCCACCACACTTCCGCATCGATTGCTTGCTAATGAATGCAACAGTACCGTCTTCCTCGACAACGGCTACTACAACAAAGCCATTGCCGCGAGCCCCGTGCACGCTTTCCCCGGATATGTCATTGGTGGTCTTTGCTGGTTCGCGATTCCCTGGCTGTGCGCCAGCACTTTGGGCATGACTGCTCTCTCCTTGGAGGGCACTCAACGCTTGAGCTCCGACGACGTCACAGCCGGTCTCGTACTGCCCTTTGCTGCCGTCAAGCTCCTCGGCTACAGCGGCGCAGTTTGCACGACAATCATGATCTTCATGGCAGTCACCTCCGCTTTCTCCGCCCAGTTGATTGCCGTTTCATCCATCTTCACCTACGATATCTACCAGGCCTACATCGACCCATCCGCCAAGGGCAAGCGTCTCGTCTGGGTCTCGCACATGACCTGTGTGTTCTGGGCCATCGCCATGGCCGGCTTCTCCACCGGTCTTTACTACGCTGGTATTGGAATGGGTTATCTCTACCTGTTGATGGGCGTGATTATCTCCTCTGCAGTCTTCCCCGGCGCCATGTCCCTCATCTGGAAGCACCAGAACTGGATTGCAGCAGCCGTCTCGCCACCCCTTGGCCTCGCCGTCTCCCTTATCGCGTGGCTCGTGACAACCAAAAAACAATACGGCATCCTGACCGTCACCACGACAGGCGCAAAGTGAGTCCACCCTAACATGTTCTCTCTCCATACAACCAACTAACAAAACTCCCGCACCAGCTACCCAATGCTCGCTGGCAACGTCGCCGCCCTGCTCAGTCCCGTTGTCTTCTCCCCGATCCTCACCCTCATCTTCGGCTCCCAAAACTACGACTACGGCACCATGCGCGCCATCCGCCGCGTCGACGACGCCGACGTCGCTGCCGCCGCGCACGTCGACATCGAACTCATCCCCGGCGAAATCAACACCCAGTCCGCCGCCCAGGAGGAGGAAGAAACGCGCAAACTCAACCGTGCTGCTCTCTACTCCCGCACCTTGACCATCTTCATGGTCCTCTGCTTCCTTATTCTCTGGCCCATTCCTATGTACGGCAGCTCGTACGTCTTCAGCAAGAAATTCTTCACAGGTTGGGTCGTTGTCGGTCTGATTTGGCTGTTCTGTACCACTTTCGGCGTGGTTATTTTCCCGCTGTATGAGGGTCGGGAGAGTATTGTAAGGACGGTGAGGATGATGGCGTTGGATATTACGGGGAAGAGGGGAAGAAGAAAGGGGATGCTTGTGGGGGAGATGACGAGTGGGGATGTTTCTGGGGTGCAGACGCCTGTGATGGAGAAGAAGGAGGCTTTGGAGAAGTAGGTTATTATGTTGCGAGGCCTTGGTTACTCTCTTGATGAGATATGTGTTTGATGTCTGGATATGTTGGGTCTGGGATGGTTTTTATTGGTTTTCTTCATCTGTTTGGATATATACCCCATTCGTTACTGTATTATCTTGAGTTCAATTAGTACTATGATAATATGAGTTCATTCAATATACTGCGCACCCCAATAGAGTGAATAAATCGGATTTGGTACAATACATGCGCGATAGCTAGTAAGCTAACCATCAGACACAAGGGCAACAAGCAAGCAAGCAAGCAAGCAAGCAAAAGGTATTGGTTAAATACAGACAACGGACCATCAACCGATCATAATACATCATCAACGAAAACAAGAGTCAGAAATAATCATCACTTATACACATGGTTCTGCTGCTCTGCCTGCTGCGGCGGCGGCGCTACCACACCCCCGGACGCCTGTGGAGGTGGGCCTGATGCCTGCTGTGGGGGATAGAAAGGTGCACCGCCGCCATAGTACGCCTGTGGTAATTGGCCTGGTACGACACCCGGAGGTGGTCTCGTCTCTGGTGTGATATCAGGGCGGTCGCTGCGATGATATATTAGTTTCTTTACTTTCCCTTCCCTTGTTCCTGGAATATGTTGGGATGGAGTTACCGTAGATCCTGCGTAAAGCGGCATGTGTAGCAGGTGACTTCCTATGAGGGTATTAGCTAAACCGTGAATATGCATATAGGTTAAGGACAAAATGATATATCAAAATACCTTGTACTTATGTGTTGCGAGAGGGATGACAGGCTATATGGAAGATATACGGTCAGTAGAGTCCGGCGTCATGCGGACGGGGGACATAATTACAATGAAGCAGACGGTGAACCACGGCCTAGTTGTTAATCATCATACATTAGCATACAACTCCAAACATATCCTCATTCTAAGGAATTAGTAAGATATAAGCTTACCATCTCGTCAAACAATGACCATTCCAATGTTGGCCTAGATTTGAAGAGTAAGACGGGTCAGTCAATAATCGAGTAAATTATTGGTTGGGTCAGGAACCAGAGCTAAAATTAGCAGTCATGATTGTCAGGGTCCAGGGAACTCATACAGTTATAGCAGAATGCGCGGACATTCTCATATCCTTCTAACATGGAAGTGAACTCTGATTTCCTTTGGTGTTAGTTTCGGCATCTTTCTTGTTGGTTGAGTGTGGGTTCTTGTGGAATCGATATCCATAAGTGTCGTCGCCTCGGTCGGTGGAGTAGGAGGGAAGGGAGTAGATAAGTCACATACCATGTGTTCCGAAGGTGATGCAGATGGCCATGTTTACGGGTTTGGGGTGCTCTCAGGAAGAACAAAGGGTGGGTTGGTTTATTCTAACTAAGAAGGTAATGAATGACAGGAATCGGGATCGCGTTGGATCATGTAATGCGACGTGTAGAGGGATAACATTGGCAGCAGCCCAAGTTAATGGGAAGGGGGAGGCAGCCATATAATAAACTGGTTGGGGCTGACGTGTGGCGCTGTGGCTTGGCGCGGGTTGGCACTTGGCGTTCCGCACTCGGCGGTGTCGTAGCGTTGCTGGGTGTGCATATTATATATAGTAGTAGTAGTGGTTGGCAGTGTATCCTGCATGCTGGAAAGCCTACGTGTCTACGGTGCAGCGCTGCAGAAGTTTTCCGATTGGATCAACTTGTATTCACTAGCAGGATATTTTGAAATGATTAACAAAGAATTGGAATCAAGTAGCAGGTAGATGCGCGGAAGAATCACCGCCGCGTTGTGCCCTCTAGGCAAACCCCGCAGCATTTTGTTCGGGACCATATGGCTGCATTTCCTTCCAGCGCTTGCATGGGACCTTTCATTGCACGTTACTTCTGCTTGAATTATCCGAAAAGGTTATAGACATCGCTTGGGCGATTCAGACCGGTGTCTGCGGTCGTATGTTCATTGGGTCTTGAAAAGGAGAATGGCGCAGTGCCCGAGGTAGAAGTAGATGAAGTGTTTCGTCTCTGCTCGAAAGTTAGCCCTTACTCCTGATGCCCTGGCAACGTCACTCACCATGCGTGACGAAGCTGCCAAAGTTCCTCCCGACGACACAGTGCCATGTCGCACCCTTGCGCGAATCGAACTGTGGATTGTGAGCAACGAGCTGTGTGTTCGGATACAGTGCGCAGTGCTGACCTCTCGCTTGATGTATTGAGCAATATCCTATCGTCGTTAGCAATAGTAACCAACAGAACACGCCGAACCTACCTTCTCGATGTGGTATTTGTCCATTGCCTCAATTGCTATCCATCGTGTTAGCTCTCCTTTTCCAGGTGACCCGTAGGGCTGACCATACCAACTTCAACAGCCTCCTGCTGCATATCCTCCGTCTGCCATGCTGTGAGCACAATTCTTATTTACCTCCAGCAATCCCTCTTACCATATCGACGGACTTGATCTGCGCTGAACGGTCATGTTAGCCATCGTTTGACGATGCCGCGTTCGGGGACTTACCCTCAAGCTTATCCTTCTTTTCGCTAGCCATTTTGCTGGACGTCGATGAGGAATGTAGTTTAAGGTAAAATGAGCAAGGATTCAAGACACGGATCAACCACTATAAATTTAGTGTACAAAGACGTCCCACGAAGCCCAATGGAAGTATTGGGAATCAACATTGCCGGCTGCGCGCAATGGACGCCGCCCGGATCACGCACGGGCCAGGCCGCCCTCCTCACCGCCCTCGGCACTATAAGGAAGCAAAAAAAACATTCCACCAAAATTTTTTCGAACTTTTTTCTTTCCAAACTATTTCAGTGGCACACATTGTCACGATCATGGAGAGCACCAGAGTATTTGTCTCTGGCCTTCCGCCAACCTTATCTGATGATCAATTGAGGAAGCACTTTGCTACTCGCTTCCAAGTCACAGACGCTCATGTATTGCCTAAGCGCAGGATTGGCTTCGTGGGCTTCAAGAGCCATGAGGCGGCCCAGCAGGCTGTGTCTTACTTTAATAAGACTTACATGAAGATGTCCAAAATCTCAGTAGACATTGCTAAGCCGGTATGTGCTCTACTCCCTATTCACACTTGCTTTGTTTCTTTTGTTTTCCCCGCTGACAGTCAAGGTGGTCTTGTGACTGACCAGTAATCTTGTAGATCGATGCCGAACCCACTCGCAAAGCTGGAAAACATGATAAGATCTCTGCAGGCGATGCCGCAGATACTTCCCTCAAGCGTAAACGGGATGGCGAAAATGCCCCGCAAGACGCTCGCTTACAAGAGTATCTCTCTGTAATGCAGCATTCGTCTAAGACTAAGACATGGGCAAATGATGATGTGCCCAAGCCACTGGAGCTTGACTCACCTGCAGAACAGCCCGCTGAAGTAGAGGAGCAACCCCAGGAGCTTACCTATGCACAAAGGAAGAAGGCGAAGCTTGGCGATGACCATGATCGCTCTCAGGAGATGCACACTGCTGACCACGAAGCTCATGGATCACCCGAACCCATGGTGGTAGACCACAGTGGGGAAGGCAACGCCGAGGCACCGGCAGAGCAGGATGATACTGTCGCCGAGACAGAGGCACCAGCTGTTTCGGATGCGGACTGGCTCCGCTCCAAGACAAGTCGCCTTCTTGGTCTGCTTGATGAGGAAGAACAGGCGGATTTCGACGCTGCTGCGCAGCAGAAGGAACCCGCAGCTCCAGAAGAAGCAGAGGATCCAGGTGCTGACTCTAGAGATGCCCAGATTGTCGCTCCCGCGGCGACTGAAGCCAAGACGGTTCAGGAGCCGCAGGTCGACACGAATATCGACGGCATTCGTCTATCTGCACGTCTGTTTGTGCGAAACCTTGCTTACGACACGTCGGAGTCAGATCTCGAACCGCTATTTGCTCCTTTTGGACGAATTGAAGAGGTTAGTAAATCCATGAGTTTTAGTTCCTGCCATCCACGACCCCCTACCCAGCTCAATGATGATCGTCCTGATAGGGACATCAGATGCCAAAGCACATGATGTTACCAGGAAAGAGTATTTTAGTAGATGCCTCTTGTTATCTGATGAGCTACACACCTCAATATTGCTGCTTGATTCACTCATTAGTTATTTGAACTATGCTAATGTGCCTAGATCCATGTGGCTTTCGATACCAGGGTTAATACCAGCAAGGGGTTTGCCTACATTCAGTACCTCGACGCAGATGCGGCCGTAGAGGCCTACAAAAATCTCGACGGAAAGCACTTCCAAGGTCGCTTGATGCACATTCTGCCAGCAGCTGCGAAGAAGACTTACAAGATTGATGATGCTGAGCTGGCGAAACTGCCTTTGAAAAAGCAAAAGCAAATCAAAAAGAAGATGGATGCTTCGTCTTCTACGTTTAGCTGGAACTCTCTTTACATGAACGTGAGTAGCTCGCACAATAGCCGCCAGTATTATACGCTAATATATTGCAGACCGATGCCGTTATGTCTTCAGTAGCTGAGCGACTTGGTGTTTCCAAAGCAGATCTCTTGGATCCTACTTCATCTGACGCTGCTGTGAAGCAGGCGCACGCTGAAACCCACGTAATCCAAGAAACGAAAGCTTACTTCTCAGCTAATGGGGTTAATATTGAAGCCTTCAAGCAGCGGGAGCGTGGAAACACTGCTATCCTTGTAAAGAACTTCTCGTACGGCGTCAAGACTGATGAGCTCAGGAAGATGTTCGAACCATTCGGGCAAATAACGAGGTTACTCATGCCCCCTAGTGGAACGATAGCTATCGTGGAGTTTTCGAGACCAGATGAGGCACAGAAAGCTTTCAAGGGACTTGCCTACCGGAAACTCGGCGACTCTATCCTCTTCCTGGAGAAGGCTCCCAAGGATCTGTTTGATGCTGCAGCCGTGCCACAGAAGGCAACCATAGAGACTAAGGCCGTCTCTCAAGGCTTCTCCACTGCTGACACTTTCGCGGCAGATGAGGTCGATGACCTTACGCCCACTACAACCCTCTTCGTAAAGAACCTCAACTTTGCTACTACGACCCAGAGTTTTGTGGACTTATTCCGGCCACTGGATGGCTTTGTGTCTGCTAAGATCAAGACTAAGCCCGACCCTAAGCATCCCGGACAAACGCTCAGCATGGGTTTCGGTTTCGTGGAGTTCAGGTCGAAAGCTCAGGCCCAATCTGCGCTTGCCGCCATGAATGGCTACAAGCTTGATCAGCATGAACTGGTAGTTAGGGTGTCTCACCGTGGAATGGATGCGGCCGAAGAGCGGAGGCGTGAAGATACCGCTAAGAAGGTGGCGGCCAGAAGGACGAAGATCATCATTAAGAACTTGCCGTTCCAGGCCACCAAGAAGGACGTTCGGTCACTCTTTGGAGCCTATGGGCAATTGCGCTCTGTGCGGGTTCCTAAGAAGTTTGACAGATCGGCTCGCGGTTTCGGTTTTGCGGATTTTGTAAGCGCTCGCGAAGCGGAAAACGCTATGGACGCGTTGAAGAATACCCATCTTCTGGGCAGAAAGCTGGTCCTGGAGTTTGCAAACGAGGAGGCGATCGATGCCGAGGAAGAAATCAAGCAGATCGAAAAGAAAGTAGGGGAACAGATGGACAGGGTCAAGCTACAAAAGCTTGCCGGGCCTGGGCGCAAGAAGTTCACTGTAGGGGCCCAGGACGGCGAAGAGGACTAAGTCCCTGCTCTTTCTCCCTGTTAGTAGGGACAGACAATAGCAATGGTACGATTTTGATGTTTATATCCCTTGCGTCTCGGACACTGAGCATGGAGTGCGGACGCAGGTTAAACACGTTCCTGCGGCTGTCAACACGTACATACGCGCGCGTCCTGCAGAGTTACCCGTCCGCTCGTGCAGTGAAGTCTTTCATCCGAGTCTATTCCTGTCATCCCATCCCGGGTTCCTTTATCCTCGCCGATTCAAGGCTTCTTACCCTTAACTCCTTATACACCTAGTTGCTCGAACCCTGGATATCCAAGTGAAGACTAGCTGGTCCTGGGATTGTCCAATTTGTCCAGGCCATACATTCCAATATGATCTACGTAACCACCTCTTACATTCCACTCCCGTGGCCCTGGACGATGTCGTTGGCCACACTTCATTCCAGAGAATGGTCATTGCCACGGACTTGGACGTCTAGCTGCTCCAAAACGTATCTCAAATTAGCAGTCACTGCTTGTCTCGTGCACTAAAACCTCCGAGGAGCAGCTTACTGGTTCGTGCTCAGGGAACATCCCTTGCATGGGTCTTCCGCTTGTTCCCATCGTGCAGTACCTTTCCTCCTGATTTGCTCGGACACAGGATCTTCCTTCGTCCATAGCTCGACCTGGACGCGTGAAACTTGGGAGGAGATTCCTTTCCCCGCCTTGAACAGTTGACATAGCCCTTGGAGGGGTGGTGTATCAACGAGCAGCGTGATTCAGCTATGCCACTAGGCCTCCCTCTCCAGGGAGAGTAGTGGTTTCCTATAAACACCATGCTCTTCGCTCCCACATTCTCTCTCCCAATTCTTACATTCTCTCCAAGCATCTACGTTCTTGATCGCTGGTTTGTGACTACTGGGTTCTTTGGTACGGCGATAGTAAGCATTTTGCTGTCCTCCATCACCCTCCTTTTCGGGATTCTCTGTCATTCTTTCCCAGAGTCAATCCTCTCCGGTGGTCCGCTCGATGGCGCACTGGCAAACGGGGTGTATTGTGCCTCAACACCAGTCAGCTCTTGAGAGCATCGGTGCCCATACGGACAGGGCCCTGCAGAACACCTCTGGTAACGTCCAGACATACTCTGACAACCTAGCCGACAGCAGCACTGTTGGTCGTGACGACCAGCTGCAGCAACTTGCCTTCAAGTATCCTCAACCCCCAGTTCCAACACATCCAGTGCCCACTGTTCCCACCACCCTTCAGCCCCCTCAGAACCTCCGGTTCCAGAGCAAGAAGCTCCGGCGCCTGCATTCATTTGGGCCCAGCCTAATCGGTCCTCGTAGCAGGCCCAGAAGCTATCTCAGGTCCAGCAAGTATCTGGAGTACAGGTCCCGTCCTCGTCGAGACACTGGCAAAGATGGGGAACCGGTATGGTCGGACGAGCTTGAAGACGCGTTTCAACAAGGTGAGAAAAGCAATCCATCAGCTGCACGACATATGAATACTAATGTTGTGATAGCTCTCGAGGCGAATCCGCCAATGGGCAGACGGAAATGGTCCGAGCGAGGAAAGTCATATGGTCGAAATGAGCTCATTGCTGAGTTCATCTACAAGAAAACTGGTAAACGAAGAACTCGAAAGCAAGTCTCCAGCCACCTCCAAGTCCTCGACTCGTTCCTCAAAGGAGACCCCGATTGTAAGTGGCATAGCCAAGTTATACTAAAGTCGGACTGGGCTAATATGAGTGCTTAGGGGAGCGACTTGTACGAGAAGAGGCGAACGTCCGCTCGAACAACCAACATCCGCCCGCTGGTCCAAGATGGGGGCCTGCCATGGATCCTCCCTTGCCAAGTCATTATGGCACTCACATCCACCCCACCTATCATGACCCTATGAGACAGGCCTATGGAGAACTGCCGCCTACCCCGTTTTCCATGAACGCCAGCTGGCCCGAGAGCAACTTCAGTACTATCCAGGGCCTCGGGTTCGATATGTGGGTAAACGAGCCAGACAAGAACGATCGTGTTGAGGACGCAAGCCATATCTACAGTCGCCTTCAAGACGACCAGCGGCATCCGGTAGCACCGATCTCATTGAATGAGATCAAGAACTGGCAAACATCCTATCCTTACCTCCATTCGCTGATGGCGAATTCCAATGGGTCGTTGGACTGTGACATTATCCTAATCGATTCCAACCTGAAGTTGATGGATGACTTCCCGGCTGCTCGCTCTAAACTCGGCATTCACTTGGAATTAGATTTTGCCCAAGCTAGTGCGGCTGGAGCTCCGATTCTCAGTGAGATGGAGAATTGGTCCTCCAAGATCTACATGTATGAAAATGGACAAGAGATCTATCAAGCCCGGCAAGAAGTTGCGAGGCCAACGCACACCGCGACGCACACCAAGGTGAAGCCTCACTTTGAATCCAAATGGTGGGCGAATCGCTTCACCAAGCTCACGCAAGAACAAAAGCTGGCCGAGGAAGCTGGACACCATGGCCACGGGAAAGCTCGGGAGTTCCTCCGCCACCTGACCGTAGTTCAGGAGATTCGAGCTATGACACCCTACAGCTCGCGGAGAATGTCCAACCCCTACTCTGGACATTCCGTGAGTGAGCAAAAGAGGGTGGCAATCATTCTCTGGCAATTCCGACAGACGCTGCCCCGCGACGTAGTTGGCACTACAACATGGCGTAGAGTGGTTTCGTCGGATCGAATCCCTCATGCAAGCCCCAAAGCAGCGACGGGCCCCGATCTCCCTCCCCCAATGTCGCTTGCTGACTCCATACTCCTGAACCGGCCGGGCCCTAACGTTTACCATCAACCCCAGCCGCACGAACTCCTTCACAACAATGGAGTTTCCCAAAACCCTTGGCCTCTGTATTCGACAGGCCAGGAGAGCGTTGCACAAATGTTCAACGCACCTTTTGATTTCATGAGTCCCCTTCCCAAGCAAGAAGACCGCCTTAACGATAAGATCGCTGTGACCTTGGGTTTGGATGGCTTCCCAAGCCTCCAATCACATGATATCAACCAGCCAACCAGCCTCAACGGGCCCAACAGTGGTACAAGCATTCTTAGCATGCCAGAGGTTCCTTTGTCGCATTCCTCCCATGGTCCATACAGCCTTGAGCATGATAGCCACTATGTCCACAGCCAGCCACTTGGGGTCAATGTGCACGACAACAACGCCCTGCTGAACGGTATGCTGGTGACGAGCGCACAGTCTATCGACGATATGAACAACAGCCAGGCATCCTGGATGCCACCAACCACCGCAATGTCTGGGGACATCCCCGGCAGCCACTACCCGCACATTGGCTTCCCGTCATCCGAGCACCACGTTGCGGTGCCCCGTGAGCCAAATCCAAGCCACAGCTATGATTTCATGCCCGAGGAGCTCGATAAGTGGCCGAGCAGCCTGCCGACCGATATGAATGGAGGGGCGCATGAGCACGCGCACTCTTACACCGCGAGTAATACAGTACAGGCCGTTTAAATGACAGGCCGAGCGAGACTACTTAATGATAATTATGGCGAAAAAAGTATTCTTAATAATGTGATGGGGGCCGGTTAATCTTCGATTCATATGCAGTGTAAAGCAATGGCAGGATACCTTTTACAATGATTATTTATTCATTGATTCTTATTATCAGACTCTCAATAGAATCTAACAGTAGTAAGTATTATTATTCCCTATTTTGTAAACACAGTACTCCGTAGTGGTAGAACCAAAATTAGGGTCAAGTGGCGGCATTTAGCCGGCAGATGGATGCATTTAGCCGGGCCCGACTTTGGATGGCATCCGGCCAACCCTTGGATAAGTTACTTACCCCAATTCAATACAGCCGCCACAAATTCATTTAGCCTCCAATGCCGCTATCTGTGCCGTGTATGGCGCCTCCAGTGGATACGCGCAATGGATTTGAGTTCATAATGCCATGACCGAGGGGCAGTTACTTATTACCCCTCCAAACCTTCCCTTTCTCTCCCTTCATCCCCCCTGATCCTACTTTGACCGCGTCTTTATAATACCTTGTCTCAACACGACCTTGTTACTCCTTCAATTCACCATGGCCTCTCCCACCGTCAAGCTAAACAGTGGCTACGACATGCCCCTCGTGGGCTTCGGTCTCTGGAAGGTGAACAACGACACCTGCGCCGACCAGATCTACCACGCCATCAAGGAAGGATACCGTTTGTTTGACGGCGCCTGCGGTACTGCTCCTCCTCAATAAAATACTACAAATATTCCCAATCTAACAAAAGCCAGACTACGGCAACGAAGTCGAAGCCGGCCAAGGCGTCGCGCGGGCCATCAAAGACGGTCTCGTGAAGCGCGAAGAGCTCTTCATCGTCTCCAAGCTATGGAACAGCTTCCACGACGGCGACCGCGTAGAACCCATCTGCCGCAAGCAGCTCGCCGACTGGGGCATCGACTACTTCGACCTGTACATCGTGCACTTCCCCATCGCGCTGAAATACGTCGACCCTGCGGTTCGCTACCCGCCGGGCTGGATGTCCGAGAACGACAAGCTGGAGTTCGGCAACGCCACGATCCAAGAGACCTGGACGGCGATGGAGTCGCTCGTGGACAAGAAGCTCGCTCGCAGTATCGGTATTAGTAACTTCTCTGCGCAGCTGGTTATGGACCTGCTGCGGTATGCGCGCATTCGTCCTGCTACGCTGCAGATCGAGCATCATCCCTACCTCACGCAGACGAGACTGGTTGAGTATGCCCAGAAGGAGGGGTTGACAGTTACGGCGTATAGTTCTTTCGGACCGTTGAGTTTCCTCGAGTTGAGCGTGCAGAATGCGGTGAATTCGCCGCCGTTGTTCGAGCATCAGCTGGTTAAGGGCATTGCGGAGAAGCATGGACGCACGCCGGCGCAGGTGTTGTTGAGGTGGGCTACGCAGAGGGGTGTTGCGGTTATTCCGAAGAGTAACAACCCTCAGCGGTTGAAGCAGAACTTGGATGTTACCGGATGGAATTTGGAGGAGGAGGAGATTAAGGCTATTGCTGGGTTGGATCGCGGGTTGCGGTTCAATGATCCTTTGGGAGTGAGTTTTATCCCCTTTTTTCTTCCATTGTATCAATATATGGAAATGTTTACTAACTTGAATCACAGTACGGACTCTACGCTCCTATCTTCTAAACGACCCAGCTATGAGTGTATATACGATATATGAATACATACCAATCTTAGTAGATGTTATAACTTGATGCATGTGACATGGTTGTAGATAATAGATAAGATAAACCCGCCAAGACCGCGTCGCGATAACCAACATTTCTCCATCCATCCCATCCATCCATCATCTCCCATCATCCACTCACCTTAACATCCACTCCTTCAATACCAACCCAAATATTCCCAATCCCAGTCCCAATATAAGCAAGAAAAAAAATGACCCTAAAACCCCTAACCAGCAGCATCCACATCAAAACGCACCCGGCCCCACGCTCCCTCTCCGAAAGCAAACTCATCCTCTCCGCACTCCAGAAATTCGGCGAAGTCGTGACATTTCGAAATCTAAAAGTAACCCCCTCCCTTTTCCCATTTTTCTCCCCTAGATACATTACATAAACAAACTCAATGCTAATAAAAAAATAAATGATGGATAGTACGATCCCACAAACACATCCCCCAAATCCGCACACAATACCATCGCCATCTTCGAGTCCGCGGCCGCGGCGTCTTCGGCCATTGCGGCGTCGCCTATTACTATCCCCGTACAATCTCAAACACAAACATTAACTCAATCGCAAAGCCAGAGTTTAGAGGGAAGAGACGAATCTCCCTCGCATACAGCCACACACTCCACACCATCACCATCACCATCACAACCCCAAGGACCGACCCTAACATGCACGATCCAACCCTCACGACATAACCACGTCTCGGCGATGACGCGCAACCCATACCATACGTTCTTTTACGTGGATAAGGACAGCCATATGTATAAGGATCTGGTGAAGAGTGGCATACCGTTGGATTATTTGGCGGATGGGCCGATGAGGAGGAAGGCGCATGTGCCGGAGCGGGTGAAGAGGATGCTGGATCGGGATGTGTGGAGGTTTGGGGGGAAGAGTTTGATGGGGTTGTATCGGTTTGGGGTGGAGAGTGAGGGTGAGAGTGGGAATGGGATGGAAGGGCAAGGGGAGAAGGAGAGGAAGGATGGGGAGGGTGAGGGTGAGGGGACGAAGTGATGTGATGTGAAGTGGGTTGATGATTGTATGATTTGTTTCCATTCTTTCTCTGTATAATAGGGTGGGTCGGTTGGGTTGTACATGTATGTATGTATAGCGGGCTACGTCCGTCACTTCGTTTATTGTAATTCTAATAGGTGATGGGTAGGTGGGCGGGTACATTAATAGCTATGAATGAGGTTGATGGCATGTAAGATGAAGAAATCGTTCCCTTATACAACGCGGATATACGCTACGTTTCGTTAGTATCTCTTAAGCATCGACAGATAAAGAAAAGAGACTTACTCGCGTCAACCTGCATGATATGCGGTATCGCCAACCGCACCTTGTTCCGATACAATGCTGGCGCTCTCGTCTGTAGCGGGTTGCCCTCAAAGTACACCGTTTGGAGTTTCTCCTTGTCCCGGAGTTCGCGCTCCACTTCATCGAAGCTCGACAGTTGGTTGTTGGACGCCCACAGCTCCTCCAGATTCTTCAGATGAGACACATTTTCCAGCTTGGACACCTGGTTGTTGGAAAAGTCCAGCACGCGCAACGAGGTGTTCTCCTCGAGACCGCTAAGGTCGGTGATCGCATTATGGGACACATAGAGTTCCTCCAGGTTCTTCAGGTTCGAGAGCCCACTGATACTCGTGAGACGGTTCGACTGGATAGAGAGGATGCGCAGGTTGGAGAGACCATCGAGGTTCTATCATCACCGCAGTCAGTCAGCCAACGCACAGCACACCCAAGACTTACAACGCAACCGACGTACCTTCAATTCCGTGATCTTATTCTTCCCCAGCCACAGCTCCTCCAACGCCTTCAGATTATCCAGATTCTCAATCTCCTGCAAGCAGTCAGAACGATACCTCAACAATCATCTCAAGCACATCCAAAACCCACCCGAATCCTATTCGCCCCCAGCTCCAGATTCCTCAACGACGTAAACGTCTCCACCCCCTCTATCTTCGAGATCTTATTCTGCACAAAATACAGATCCGTCAACTTGACCAAATGCGAAATATTCTTTACATGCTTAATCTTATTGAAGCTAAGATCCAAGCTGGTCAAATGCTCGAACTCATCAAGCCCCTTCACATGCGATATCAGATTATCGTAGAGATCGAGTTCCGTCAACGACTTGGCAACTTCCGTGGGGAATTCGATTCGTGAGATTTGATTCTGTCGGAAACATAATCTCTACATCATCCACCGCCCAATTAGCACTGTGTCGCGCGACCACACAAATACTGGGTATCATCGCTATACCTTCACCTTGGGAAACCGCTCCAACCGCAACGCCGGAAGCGAAGTTATGCGACAGTGAACGAGGTCGATTTCCTGATGCGAGGTGTGTTAGCTAACTGACTGTGTCCATCAATCAACGAACGCGTCGCGTCGGAAGAAGTATCAGCGTATACCTCTGCTTCCGGGTCCTCGTCCTCCAATAGATCTGCACACAAAACCCAACCATCAGTATATTGTCCTTTGTATCACCGGTATACCACAGCACAGCATCCCGGTATTCATGGATGTTGATTGACATACCTTCATCGGCCTCGATCTCCTCCACGGGCGGCGCATCCGAGTCCGAGTAATCGGGGTCTTCTAGTGCTTCCGGGTTCGTGATCGTGGCTTTCGGTTCGACCCGTAGCTTTCCGTCCCAGCCGTTTTTGTCCTTCATGTTGAGCGATGGGGTGTGTGTGTGTGTGTGTGTGTGTGTGTGTGTGTAGGGTGGTCCTGGGAAAAAAAGTGGTTTGGTGGTGATGCAGTTGGAGGCGGGGAGATTGGGTATGACGCTGCCAAGAAATATCAGGAGATCGTCGGAGCTTTGGATGGAGGCTCAAGGAAGCGGACACAGCCTTGCAGGGGAAATATGTATGTATATATGTAGGAAAGAGTTCAGGACGGGGCTAATCGGAGAATACTCACATGAGCTGACACGATGTAGTGCGGACAAAAGCGGGATGCGATGGAAGATTTGGAGATGACCGACCGATCGGTCATTATTGCCGCGGCGTGATTCCAGCCCGCCTTCGCCGTTAAAGAGGCGATCCACTCTACGCTGTAGTCTAGATGCTCGATATATCGCCAATAATTCTGTCCAATATGCGTTACTGCCTGTTTTACTCGTTACTTCTGATCTATACTACTCTGGAACTCGGCCGTCTCGTGAAACGGTCAATTCAAAACTACTTAAACACGGGACAAGCTGGATGGTGGAGGCGGACGCTTTTATGTACAGCACGCACGCCCAATCAGTACATATACATTGCAAAGTCCGATCCCATGTAAATCTGGAACCGTTCAGACCATGCGTGTACCAGAAGCAGCGACAGGCGCTTGAGACATGAATCAAAATGCCACGCGCAGGGGAGTCTCCAAAAACAAATAGACCTTGGCGAACCAATGACAAAAACAACGCTGGGTTTTGGGGGTTCACATCTTCAGGCACAAAGAGACTAGGAAAAGAACCAGGACGGCGGGTCGAGCCTCTTATGGGCTGCATGTTAAGCAAAAAGAACAAAATGGGGACGATGAAAGGAATCAAAAGTAGAAAGAGACAGATGAAAGAAAAGAGGGAATGTAAATCGGGGAGCGTATACATGAGATCAGCAAAATTTTGGCTGATGACCAAGACTGACGCCTGCGGTATGCAACAGGAAAGAAAACTTTAAACACTAGGAAACAAGACTGGCGGGGGTAATCTGGTATCTGCTCGCTGGGAGCGCAAGAACATGGCCGGTGCTCGGAAGAAAAACGGTGCGAATGACATGGGGATAAAGGCAAAAAGATGATGATGGGGAGGAAAAGTTAAAGAAAACACATCTTCACTGTGGAACTGCCACGAGCGTTCAGATCCCAGACGAAGCTGGATTGAGCTGCCCGGACGGTCTGGCTGCTCGACACGGCAGACGTTCCATGCGTATAGTTGATCAAAAATCAGATGACTCTTTCTTTTGAAAACCGAGTGGACCCGCAAGGTGAAGATAAGCATGCTGTAATGCAAATGCCAGAAAAACTAGAGTTACAGGCATCACAATGTAATGTCGAGAACCAGACTAACGTCTTTCACTTGTGCCCCGGCAAGGTCTTCGAGGACGGGAATCAGATCGAGAAGCTCGTTATCGTGGGCGTCAGAGAACCAGCTGCTGATGGGTATCGCATGTTGAGGGTGGAAGATATACGAAGTTGGGGAATTATCGATGATAATCGTATCTCGTAGGTCGCGGCCTACTTGAGAGAGATCCTAACCAGGGATCAGTTAACAATTCACACAAGACAATGTACACTGAGTGGAACAAACCTTGACATAGTTGCCTTGATGGTTATAGCAACTATCCCTGAACAGTCGGTGGTGGACAACGTTGTGAATATCTAGCTGATCCAGCAGAGGATCACCGTACTAATGAAGCATGAGCGAATGCGTAGCCGATGATTCCTAGTTTGGAATAACTCACCTTCGACACAGAAGCGGTAAAGACAACCACTTCATACAACTCACCCACCCTTTTCATGAATTGGTCGACTCCAGGTCTTTTTATAACGTAGATGTTGTGATATTGACCTTCAATCTCCACGGGAATGGTAAAATCCGCGCGTTCAAGAACCTGAACATAGGTTAGTCTAACACTGGGTTGATGATAAATTGAGGATGGCGGACCTTGAAACTACTGTGAACCAATGTCTCGTCCAAATCAAGAACCAAGCATTTCCTGTCCCGCAGATGGGGAAGAGGTGGCGGCAAGAGGAATTGCTGTTGCGTCTCCTCTAGCATTGTATCGGCGTGGTGTCCAGATGGGCCCGTCGGCGGAGGCAATTCAGCTGGAATTACTGTCGCCTCCTCGTCGTGTGAAGTATACTTCTCGTCGTCATAGCTATTTTCGGACGCCGGGGGCTTAGGCAATTCATTCAGCTCTATAGGAGCTGTCGGAGCATCCTGAGACTTTTCAGTGAGGGGCGAGATCGCTTGCTCCTCTGTTTTCTGAGCGGGTTCCTCCACTTCGCTAGCAACAGCGCTTGCTTCGGCGGTCGTAGTGGAAGGTTGGGTACTCTGGCCTACACCAAACCCCTGTGATTCAGCACTGTCCTGTGGCAAAGTCGGTACTTTCTCTGTCTCTGCCGCACCCGAAAGTACCGTTGCACCATCGAGCTGAGCGCCCTGCTCGGAAGTAGTCACAGTGCGCTCTTCGTCCACTTGAGACATGGACTGGTTCGACGTCACAGTCATGTTGGGTTTCTCATCCCGGTAGTAGCTGGGGTCTTTGGATTCCGCGGTGCTCGAATCACCAGCATTGGTGTCAGCCTTCTCCGGAGTGGCCTGGGTGTGGGGAACCGATGGCTGTCTGGATGTCCTCTTCGCTGGGATGGCAGGGTCCTCCGAATCATCGCTGGGCGAGGAACAGCAGCTCAAGAAAGCGAACAACCTATACGAGACCTTGCTTCTCCTCTCTGGCTTGGCCGGATCACGCAAGTCAGGGCTTGCCGACTTATCTTCCTCCATACTCGCCCCCTCCTGGTTTTGCCGACGGGACCTCATACTGCTACCTCTGCTCCGGTCCCTACGACCCTTGAATATGCTTCTTTTCGAACCGCGAAGAGTATTTTCGGAGTCATCGTGAGCGGTGTCTTGACTCTTGTCCAGCGTAGATTGTCGATCCGCTTTTAAGGATGCACGCGACGGGATGGGCAACAGCAAATGATGTTTCTTCGGTGCGTCAGTAGACGTGGTTGCAGAGTCCTCTACCGAACCCTGGGCTGGTGCGACGGACTCTTGAGCCGCATTGACGGGCTCTACATGGTTGGACGGAGGCGACGCATCGGTGGTGGCGGGCTGGTCCTGAGGCGGCGGTTCAGGATCTAACAAAGGAGATATCAGCAACGGCACTCGGAACCAACTCAAGCGCATCGGAGAATTTGATTGCGAAGCCAGGAAAAACGGAGTTGGAAACTTACTGGAGTCGGGGGGACTCGTCGCGATAGGCATGAGCGCTTCTCCAGTGGTCGGTTTTGAGTTTAATGGTGAAGAATCTCGCTCTAAGCTCCCTCCGAGCATTGAGGGTAGCAGAGCGAGGTTCACTTAAGCCGACGGGGAAACCAAAAAAAAAAAAACGAAGGGAGAGAAGAGTGACGAGAGAAGAAAAGAGAGAGCGAGAGAGAGATAGAGAGGAGTTGGAGGACAATGACCACCAGGGTTACCGCCGAGAAGGGGAGGGAGGGGGGTTGCGCCGGCAAGGAAGAAGAAGAGGAGAGAGAGAGAGGGTGCAGTCACGCCTCCTGGCTCTTCGCACGTACTGAATGGATGGGATGGAGGCAGGTTACTAAGGTGGTAGTACCAGTAAGTTGCTTAGCTCTGGGACCCGGACCACCGCCTTGAATAAGGCTAGTGCGCAGCACTAAAAGACTCGTTCGCAATGAGCAGATCCAATCAATCCGCACTCCAATGTCCAGAATACAGGGCGGCAGACGAGCAGAAAAGCATATGCGACCGGCACGATCTGGAAGTCAAGTCTGGGGATGATCGCAGGAATGGAAGGGTTCGAGCGTGTGAAGTGCAGGACTGTTTGAACGTAGGGGATCACGTGGTTGAGCCAGGGCGCAAGCAGCTCCTCTTGACTCGTTGATGACCTCTTTTGTATTAGAGTGGTACGAAATAGTTGGTAGTAGGTAATAATGATAAAAGGTTCAGGCAAGGTTAAGGCAAAGGTCACCGGCCAGACAGCCCGGTAGTTAATTGAGTTAGTTAGTTGGAGAAGAATAATAGCTGTAACGTAAACGATCTAGGGTATGATCGCTTGTTGCACTGGGGCTGACGGGTTGTTGGCCAGCGGGAGGGAAGTTAAGGTGAAAAGGAACTCTAAAAGAGGGCCCCCTCGAAAGTAATCTGATCGGCGGTTGATGATCTGATTCTTGTGCTGTGGGTTCGTCCCTTTCGCTTAGTCGATGGGCAAAGGAAGTGTCAAAAGTGTAGCCAGCGGCTAAGAGAGACCTTTTCTTCCCACTAGTTGGACACGGTCCGATGACGGTTTTCTACAGTCGGGATGAGCGACAGGGGAGCACGGAAGTCCAAGGGGAATCAGCCCAGGTGCGGTGGTGCTTTGATATGGTCAAGCAAGCCGGTTGATGATAGTGGAGAGTGGCTTATTCCTTAGCTCCTTGACTGGCGGCTAACCGGTTTAAGCAGAAAGAGGAAGAGGAAGGGGAAAGGGGGAGGAAACTAGAGTAAAAAGAGAACCGAGAAAGAGAGGGAAATAGCAAAAGAATACGTAGAGCCCGAGGGGGGAGAGAGAGAGAGAGGAGAAGGGAGGGGAGGGGGAGGAGGGAGGTGGAAAGTGGGTGGGCGAATACAGCAATGATGATAGTAATAAAACCAAAATTAACATTATCATCGCAATAACAATAATAATACAGGAATGATAATAATAATAATAAGAAGGTACAAGAAAACAAAATAATTTAAAATTACTCCATTCGTGTTGCTATGCGCTGACTTTTACGGAGGTGATGACCTTAAATTAACTGGTACTGTTAAGTAAGTAGGGACGTTGATGGTGGATGAATGCTCGGATGTGCCTTGGGGGGCAAGGGGTAAAAGGAAAAGCAGCAAGCAGACATTGGAACCCGCATGAGAAATTAGTACGGGCCCCAGGAGTAAAAGGCGAATGAAAAAAGGAACGAAAAATGGAAAAAGAAAAAGCGGGAGAACACAGGCCAAGTCTGGTCCGGACCAAAAGATGCAGGGCTGCAGAATTGGGGCCAGACACCCTTAGAACTGCTGCGACTGGCTGGTCCAGCATTGGAGACGGAGGTTCAGTTCTCCATTTGCAGCAGGTTCGGGCCTGATTTGACGGGTGATGCCCCGTACCTTGAATTTTGCACGCCCTGATTACCTCCCATTGGAACCGGTAAATCACTTACCATGAGCACCATGGTGAGCCACGCTTTCCAAAAGATTCAAATTATCTATTGCACAGACATGTGGACGATAAGGATACCAGCAGGATCCCCCATACTTCATTTGATCCAGACTGATGTAATTCATGCATAGCCAGAAGCTAGTGAGTTACACGCCTACCCACAGCAGCAGCCCGGTCCCCGGTAGAAGTGTAAGTCTTCTGTAGCCTTCGACTCGAGGTCATCCGGAACAAGTTCCGACTCGAGAATGGGCTCATATCCTCGTAAGTATTATAACTATAGCAGTTGTACCCATCCAAATTATCACGAAAATTGGGAGAAGTCATGAAAGTCTGATTATTTTATTTTCATTCATTTTCTTTCACGGATCGCATAGCAAACCCCGAAAGTAAGTGCTATCATTGTTACCCCGAGAAGGCTTGGTGCAGGGATCTGGCTCGTCTTTTCTTCCGTGGGCGCTTCCAGGACGAATCGGAGGTAGCCAAGAGTTAAGGTGGTCTCAATCACCAGTGACAAGGTGAGGCTGGCGTATATCTAACAGCTCAATAGTCCTTTCGAAGTCATGCATATCTGCTCCCATTTCATGGTGTCCTTTGGAGGGGGCCGTGATTTCTGTAGCCACAGCATCTCTCTCTCTTCCGTAACAGCCTGTACTTGCCCCGAGACGGATCAATTCATGGTGCACACCACCTTCACTGAACCTGCAGCTTCTCGTCCCTCATGACCACCAACAATCATGGGAGACCTACACCCTGGCCCTCCCTCCCTCCCCTTCAAGACCCTGGAAACAGTTCCAGGTGACGACGGCCATCTGCTCAGCCAAGCGAGCAGCACCACTACTAAAGTAGGCAAGGCTCAGGAATAAGTTACAGCTATTGTGGGTGATCAGTACCTCATGATACAGGATCGAGTCGAAATTACCGACTTCCGCAATTGAGATTCTGGACGGGCACCCCTCCACTCCGAAGAAGTCACTATCTTCATTCGCTTCTCGTCCTGCTAGCCTTCCAGCCTAAAAAACCGCACGCCCTAGACAGTACCACGACTCCGCTCACATCTAATATCTTCAGCCCCTCTGGCATTTTATTGGGTTAATCAAGACATGCATCATTCGTTGTCCGTTGAGAATAGGTCCTACCATTGGCTAACTATCACCGACCGTGATCGGCCTCAGCTACTGCTCAGGTCTCCCATGTCGTCGCCCGTCAATCTAAATCTAATTCCTCCTTCGCTGGGACCAAGGTCGCCGTCCGCAGCAAGCTTTTCAGAAATCTAGAGGTCATCTTCCAAGAACATTAACATGCTCTAGTCTAGAAAGGCTCATCACCATGGCTGGCGGATAATGCGCCCGGGGCGTCATTCCATGCATCTACTTGGGACTGCCTGCGAATCAGATGCTGCTCAACAAGAATAGGCCCGGGCAGTTGTCGAAAGAAGAGTCGATCATCCTATCTAGCCACCTATCCATGCTTGCACACCTGCACACATACCTAGTCTCAATATTCTATACGCTGTAGGTATCAATCTCCCTTTTTATTCGTTTGTGCTACCCTGCCTTCGTAAATAACGGTCTGCTTCTAATGGTGATAGTCATCCCTGCCAAAGAAGATGCCACTGCAGCCATCCATAGTTTACGGGGTCTGCTAAGTAGGAGTCAAGCAACAACCCCAATAACACAACATTTCTGTCTGGGTGATACATTCCAGTATCCCCCCGGGTTGATCATTGACACAGAGGGGATGGCGCATTCTACGAAATACTTTGCTTGTCTTGAGATCCAAGTGATTGTCAAGTTTTGGTTTCAGACAGGTATGCGGAGACTGTTTGGATTGTATACCAGCTTTCAGCTTCAGCAGCTAGAGAAAGAGCTGGTAATTACCCTGTAATACCTGATCTCCATGCCATCCCCACTCTTGTATCCAACCCCCGCATCAAGTGCGAGACTGCAGCCTTCGGATGCTATTTTTGTTTTTCGAGATCATTCATTCATGTTTATGCCTTCACTTTCTGGCTGTCAAGTCATACGATCGAGGACAAATGGGATAGCTAGGCCCCAATGTCGGAATCAAGAAATACCATGTTCAAGTCTGTGAAACGATCCACATTTGCGTAAATCTTCCGGGCTTCCCTGGTTGCCAAAGTGCCGGCCAGCCATATGGTTCTTCGATTAAAGTCTAGCGGACCAGCACTGACCTCAAGTTTAGGTGCCTCGTGCGATATTGGTAGACCTTGTATTTTACCATCAACCTCCCGCTATTGAAGCTTAATCGACCGGCACCAGATCAACTAAATGATACAGATAACAACTACTTCTATCAGATAATACCACCAACCTCGTAACTACTACCTGCACTATCCGGCCCGTCTTGGTTGCAGTCCCTTTTAGGAAGTTGGGCGCTTAAGGGCCTACATAGTAAGACTGCCAGAGGATGGATCTGCAAAGCTCAATAACGCAGACAATTGTCACAGCCAATAACTGCCGATTATCTGATGCAATTTGGGTGGCTCAATTAGTAGTACTTGTGGTACAAGATCTGTGAAATCAAGCGATTCACTACTCCGACATCGACCGGATGATGTCAACGGCTTCATTAGTTACTTGAACATCTAAAAGCAGCTAGGAAGCCATCGACACAATATTTCGGAGATTAGGCTCATAGGCAATCTCCTAAATTAGCGAGCAGGTCTCTGTGAAGGCTAAAACTTGTGGCTACTGATACTTGATGTAATGAAGGTCTGGGGACTCCGCACGTGAGATGCGCCTCCGCCCCTCCGCAATGTTGGCCCGAGGTCTTCACATGCATTAAATCTCAACAACATTGTCAGCTTCAACCATGATGTGAGCTCCTGAGTGAGTTGTCCGCTAACAACTGTCTCACAACCACACCTATTCTCACTCATATTTCTTGCTTACAGCATTTCCAACCTCGAAATACCACCACAGACCGATATAGAACGCGTCATCCCTGCGGACGCTTCTCCCCATCTCCTGATGGCCTTCGACAGTCTGGCCTAAGAATGCCAGCTGCCGTGAAGGCACTGTCCTACAAGGTGCCCACAGATTGTGTTAGAAGTGGCTCTGTGGCTATACATGAGGCATAATGGCCGCTCATTCAACGCTTCGCCGTCGAGAAGATCCTCTCGTGGCGCTGTACAACAAATACGCCAGTCTCGTTCGCTCCCGGATCAAGCGTTCATCAAAGACCACCCAAATCATCGCCACTATTGCACTGATCCTATCTATCGTGGGTTCCGGTTATGGAGGCTACAAATGGTTCAGCGAAAGGGCCAAAGAACGTGCGCGAGGAAGACAGCTGCTGCGTCGGAATTCCGGGATTCGAGGCAAGGATGGCACTCGTACCATCTATGTGCCCTATAAGGGCTCCATGACCTCCAAGGTTGTGATCCATCCGACCAAACAGACGACTTTCGATGCGCATCGGCGCTTGTTCTTGAATCCACCTGCTGCCGCCCGTGTCGGCGACGGCGAATCAGTGAATCAAATACCGCCGCCAACCACAAAGCCTGGGATCAACCTTGCATTCCTTCATCAATTCCTCAGCCTAGGGAGTATCATGGTCCCGAGATGGGGTAGCAAAGAAACCGGATTATTGATGGGTCATGGGGTTTTCTTGCTCTTGCGGACGTACCTGTCTCTATTGATCGCACGGCTTGATGGCGAGATTGTAAGGGATCTTGTCGCGGGCAAAGGGCGCGCTTTCGCTTGGGGCATTCTCAAATGGTGTGGGATTGGCACACTGGCTTCCTACACCAATGCCATGATCAAGTTCCTTCAATCGAAGGTGTCTATTGCGTTCCGGACCCGATTAACGAGGTATATCCACGATCTCTATCTTACTGGCGATAACAACTACTACAAGTTGATGAATCTGGATGGCGGTGTTGGCCAAGGACCAGACCAGTTCATTACCCAGGACCTCACGCTCTTCTGTTCTGCAGCAGCAGCTCTATACTCGTCCATGGGGAAGCCTATGGTGGACCTATTCGTGTTTAATTATCAACTGTATCGTTCTCTCGGGCCTTTGGCCCTTACCGGTATCCTCACGGGCTACTTCAGTACCGCAGCAGTTCTGCGAAAGCTTTCACCACCGTTTGGAAAGCTGAAGGCTGTGGAGGGAAAGAAAGAGGGTGACTTCCGGGGTCTACATTCACGGTTGCTCGCCAATGCTGAGGAAATCTCTTTCTATGGCGGCGCGGACATCGAACGTGTTTTCCTGATGAGAAGCTTCAAAGACCTTCAGCGCTGGATGGAGGGCATCTATAGCCTCAAGATCCGATACAACATGCTAGAAGACGTCATTCTGAAATACGCTTGGTCTGCGTTTGGGTATCTGATCACGTCTCTGCCAATATTTCTTCCAGCCTGGGGCGGCATGGGTGGTGCCCTGGAGCTTGTGGACGTGCCGAAGGAGACTGGTCGAGAACGCGATCGCATGAAGGAGTTCATCACGAACAAACGTTTGATGCTATCTCTGGCGGATGCAGGTGGCCGGATGATGTATAGTATCAAAGACATCTCGGAGTTGGCTGGGTACACGTCTCGAGTCTACAGCTTGATATCCACCCTTCACCGAGTGCATGCGAGTGCATACTACCCCCCACGCAATTCTCATGCGGAGCTATACTCTCTCGCGGATGTACAAGGGACTATTCATAACGGCTTTGATGGTGTTCGTCTCGAACAGGTTCCCATCGTCGCGCCTTCATTATATCCCCGGGGTGGCGATGATCTGATCGAGTCACTGTCATTCGTCGTGCACTCCGGCGACCACCTCCTGATATCTGGACCGAATGGGGTCGGCAAGACTGCCATTGCCCGGGTTGTATCAGGGCTGTGGCCAGTGTACCGCGGGTTGGTCAGTCGCCCCAGAGGGTTTGGGCTTGACGGCATCATGTTCCTTCCCCAGCGGCCCTATCTCAGCGTGGGGACTCTCCGCGATCAAGTAATCTACCCCCACACTGCAATCGACATGCACGAGGCAGGTGTGACCGATGCTGCACTGCAGAAAATTCTGGACGACGCTCACCTAGGCTACCTCCCTGGGCGCGAAGGCGGGTGGGACACTCGAAAGGAGTGGAAGGATGTCCTGAGTGGAGGAGAGAAGCAACGCATGGCATTGGCACGAATTTACTATCACGAGCCTCGCTATGCCTTCCTTGATGAAGGAACCTCAGCGGTCTCGTCTGATGTCGAGGGCCTACTGTACCAGCGGGCAAAGGAGCGGGGAATCACCGTGATTACGATCTCCACACGCGCATCGCTCAAGAAGTACCACACATACAACCTTAGCATTAGTATTGGCGAAGGGGGCGAGCAATGGGAGTTTGAGAGGATCGGCACCGCCAAGGAAAAGCTGGGAGTTGAGAAGGAGTTGCAGGAGATACGGAAGCGGCTTGACAAGGTGGAAGAGTGGAAACAGCGTCGGGAGGATATTGAGAACGAGCTGCGCAAGGTCTGGGTGGAAGAAGGAGAGCTTTCTCCACCACCCTATGAATCCGAATCGGAAGCAGTTGAGGTACAGGATGATCAGCAGTAGGCTCTCATCCACTGCAGGTCAAACTAGCCGACGCTGTGACCATTGTTTCATTTTCTATTCATGTTGACTTAGTGTCCGAGTGAATCTGTAACTGGACTTTTGGATGATGCAAATAGATATAACCTGATGATTTACCCATCTGTAGAGTCACATGACCATCACCCACGGCGGCAGAGCGGATCCTCTTCTTGTCCCATGCAATCAACTATCATCAATGCTGCATAGCTCTGTTCTTGTCTTCCTGCCTCTTGAATCTTTACCCTTCACTTTTCCCTCTTCTTCTATTCAGTATTCAAGTCACGTGTTCATTTCTATCCCAAAATGTGCATGTTGCGTGCAGACTAATCACAGCTTACTTCCATCTCTTATTCAGATCTTATCTAATTTTAACTACTGCAGGGGGAACACGCCCCTTCTACTATAATGTCAATCATTATGGAAGACTCGTCTTCACCAGACCAGCAAAAAGTGGTCGTAATACCAATCAACCGGACATTCAGCGACGGCACCCAGGACAACTGGCCCAAAGATGAGAGATTCCTGAGACCAGACGATAGTTACTATCGAGAGAAGCTGGCCGCCATGTGGCTGCAGAAAACGGGGGCTTATGAGCGTGGTACGTTGATTGCATGGCTTACTTTGATCTTATTCTACTTCGGTTGATGCTCTACACCTTTGCACGGTTGCTTTGGAAGTTGTTTGTGATTTATTTATCCATTACTCCTTTCGGACTCTGTACTTCAGATCCATATTGAGATGTTTGGCGCATCGTGTACTTTATTGTACCGTCATGTGAAGGCCAATGGTAGTCGCTGTTCTTTGATCAGAAAGGAAAAGAGACATGTCGCTGCATGCTAGCATATTGAAATTATATTCGCTTTTATTCCGCTTCACTAACCCTGCTTTTTAGGAGTGGAATACATTCTGGACAGTCTGCCTGATGGTTATGCTCTATTTGACAGGCCGCGTATTGCAAACCCCGACATTGTAGGTTTTTAGCCCTTTACTTCTGGGTGCATTCATATCCCTGATTCTCAGCAGTACGATCGTTTCCTCTATGGCCATCCAACAGATGTGTATTTCAACTCCACGAAGCAGTTCTTTCCGCACTTCTACTATCTTATGACAGGCGGCCAAGAGCCGTGTATCTGTGTTCTTTGCGAGAAAATGTCTAAGAGAAAACAAGGTATGTCGCGACCAATATTCGGATGTCCTATGCAACACTGACAGTAATCTACAGAAGGCGGCTCAGAAAGACGAGGTCCTGGAAGACCTCGGGGGAGACCTCCTGGGACTGGAACGCCGATTCGAACCCCTGGTAGGCCACCGGGGAGGCCGCCTGGTCGACCTCCCGGATCAAGCGCAAGCAAACCACCCGGAAGGCCACCGGGAAGACCACCAGGAAGACCCGGACGACCCCCTGGTAGGCCCCCTGGCCGACCTCCAGGCAGGCCTCCAGGCAAGCTTTCGTCGGCGACATGCCCTTGTACAGATAACGAAGGGACACCAGACGTATTCAAGATGGCCGTGCTGCAGCTCGAGCTACAGGGCTTACAGGAGAAGGACATCACAGAGCCTGGAAGCATGGACTGGCGCGCAGAGCGTTCATCACTCAACGAATACATCCAGAAGCTGGACATGCAACCATCCTTTCTCCCCCGTGCCGGAGAAGTTGTGCTCTGGACGCCGGATTTTGAAGGCGAACTAGCCTGGAACCCTGAACATAACCAGATCCAAATATATTTCCCCAGCGAGAAGCGATGGTCGGGCACCCCAGAATGGCGAGCAGGTATCGTCAGTCAGGTCCCAGAAGAAGACACCATCTTCCAAGACATCGTCCAGACATCCCCCAAAAAACAGAGCGTCAACTACTCAGGCTTCCGCGTCGAAACCTTCCCTGACCCCCACAGCCCTGACAAGAGCTACTCCCTGCACTACAAATACGTCTATCTGAAATCCATCAAACCCTTCAACGCCTACGAACACTTCCTCCAAAACATCCCTCGCGAGAACCTCCACCCCTCCATCGAATACGCCATGACCATCATGTCCTCCTTCAGCCTCCTAGACAAACACCACTTCAAAGGCATCTGGCCCGACGCATCCATCTACAGCCAGGGGATCTTCATCGGCGCCGAGCTCCTGACCATCGGCGACGCCGTACGCCTGAAACCCCAGAACTACAACCCCAACATCACCCCCTCACCAACCGTCACCGAGATAATGGTGATCGAAGAGATCCGCCTCGACCTGAAAAACTGCGACTCAGACCGCAAATCCAAGCACCTCGCAGAGAAATACACCATCCGCATCCGCGGCAAGATCTACACCCCCAGCGACCGCCGCATCTACCTCACCAGCAACACCCTCCACCCCATCAAACCCCTGAACCCAGATGAAGTCGTCTCCGCCTTCCACTACGTCGGCATGAGCGGCTACGGCGACTGGTACCGCATGCACCCCGGCGCCATGGTCGACGTATCCCAGGACATGATTCTCGGCCGACTCTACGAGCCCGACGCCCTGCAACTCATGTTCGGATCCCTATCCCTCGGATACGATCTGGATGGTGTGCTCCGCGGACGGGAGTATTCTCGCCAAGCGGACGAGCGCATCCCAGAAGGGCAGAAATGGTTCTGGGGCGATTTCCGCACGCAGACGCTTGCAATTGACTCGCTGAATGGCGAGGATGTGGGGCATTATAGCGACGCTAGGGATATGAAGATGTGGAGGGCGAATCTTCGTGTGCTGGATGGGGTGGCGAAAGCGGCGGATTTTAGAGAGGCCAAGATACCGGGCGATGTGGGACGGCCGTCGACCAAGTCCAGGTCGAATTTCGCCAAGATGGGGAAGCTCAGTAAGCTTGTTAGTACGGGGTTGGGGGATGCGGATTTGAGTAACCCTGTTAGTGAGGCGGAGGAGGGGACGAGTCGGTTGTCTGTTGGTGATGAGGAGGATGATGATGATGATGATGAGGAGGAGGAGGAGGAGGAGGAAGAAGAAGAGGAAGAGGAAGAGGAGGAAGATTTCACGCTCCGTATGGATCAGCTGCGCGGCGGGACAGAGGAAACAGAAGAAGGGGACTATGTGCCTGATAAAGAGAGGGAACGGAAGCGAGGAAGACATGATGATTGAGCTGGACTGTACTATATTCAAGATGATACCAGAGGCTAAACAAACAAACTATACACCCACCCCCATCAAATAATGATGTAGCATCCTACTTCGACGTCTTCTCCACCACGCCCCTAGCAAAATCCCCAAACGTAACCCCAGGCGTTACCTCCTCCTCCAAATTCGGCTGCGTAAACACCGCCAACGTATTCCTCGCCACCTTCCCGACCCCTCTAGCCCCCTTCACGAAATGCGGCACAGCACGGAACTGCCCCCTCGTGATCAGCTGCAACGCCTCACCCGTCTGAAACGCAAGACAATCCTTCGGTATATTGACCTTAACAACCTGGCCCGTCCTGGAGCGGATATACAACCCGGCCTTAGGATCCGGCGAGGACATGAGTTCCGGGAGGGGAGAGGATTTATCTTCCAAAGTGGAGGAGGAGGGATCGTGCGCCTCCTCATCGACAAACATTGCGGACGTAAGGCCCGTTAGACATCCGTGGTCGAGGTGGGTTGCGCACCAGTCGTCATCATCATCATCATTACCCTCACCCTCACTTTCTTCTTTTTTCCCTCCCTCCGAAGGAGAGGAAGAACCTTCAGTAGGAAAATAATGCAACAACCTCGCCTTAGTGGTAAAACTCCCCCTCACGACCTTCTCCAAATACCCAGGCTTATACCCATCGACACTTTCCACCGCGAAGCGATCACACGCGCGCGCCACCAACGCCGCCGTATCAATAATCAGTGTGCAGAGCTGCTCGAAGCTGCTCCGGAAGGTGGGGAGATCCGTCTCGCTCGGCCAGATATTGGGGGAGGTATATTCGGGGAATTCTGCGTCGATGGACGGCGCGCCTTGGAGGGACGGGTCGTTGTAGAACGCGCAGTTCAGGTAGTAGGAGCCCTTGTGTGTGTCGTAGTGCCCGTCACGGAGGGTTTCTTTGCCTAGGGACCAGCCGATGAGGTATTTTGCGGAGGCGCAGGTGAGGGAGTCTAGGGTTGAGGGGGGCAGCGAGGCGAGGTACGAGGCGTTGGAGAGGACTTGCGCGCGTAGGTGGGGGAAGGTTGCGGGGAGGTTTTTGACCAGGATTATGCCCAGCGAGGAGGGGCCGAAGGCTTCTGTTAGGGTCGTGGGGGGGATGGTTCCTGTTTTTGTGGAGGGTTAGTGAGATGGATGTGGGTTGGGTTGTTTTGGGGATTGGGGTTGGGGGACGTACCGTCGATTAGGTCTTGCAGGGTGACGGTGACGGCTTGCGCTACGGGTATGTCGTCGAGAGCCATTGTGGTGTTGGTGTTGGTGTTGTTGTTGAGTGGTGGTGGAAAGAGGAGATAATGAGGGGAAAAGATTGCAGGTGGGATGATAGAGGGCCTCGGCCCGCGCCGGTCAATTGTGCTTATCGGCGCTTCTTATCGGATGGCATCGGCCGGCTGAATGGAATTGATTGATAGAATGTAAAGTGGTGGGTGTGTGTTGGATTCAGTTGAGAGTTGTGATATCTGGATTGTGGGTATGTACAATGAAGAGGTGGATTGTGTGGTTACTATAACATAAGGTTCATGTAATGTACAGGCAGCTTGCTGCATAGCTGCGGTTGGAGCCCTTTCTGACTCCATTTGAATTTCAAGTTCAGCAGTCGAGCAGCGCAGCAGTCTAGCAAGACTGTGAACGTCGAGCGACACTCATGGCGAGATCTTGCAAGAATCGCGAAAATCCACTCGCATGTAACGGACCAATGAGAGTGCCGCCGCAAGACGCGTCATCGTGTCTCCCATTCACTGAGCGCTGTCTAGATCTCCTTCCCTTCAGCAGCCTGGCCCTCAGCCGCTGCATCGGCACGGGTAGTCACTTTGCGCAAGTTGCCAAAAGGCAGAATGTCCCCGATTCTCGTTATTCCAGTAAACAACATGCAGAGACGGTCGATACCGCATCCCCAGCCGCCAGTCGGAGGGAGACCCCATTCCAGCGCCTTCAAGTAACTCTCATCGATCTCTTCCGCTTCATCCGCCTGTTTGCTGTACCGGACCTGGTCTTCGAACTTGCGGCGTTGCTCGAATGGCGAATTCTCCTCCTCGTATGTGTTCACGACTTCGCGGCCCTCGATGAAAAGCTCTCCGCGGGCGGCGACGCGCTGGTTGGTGGTGGGGTGGATGAAGGATTTAGATAGAGGGGACAAGCACTCGGGCGGGTTGACGATGAAGGTCGGGTCGATGCACTGGGGTTCGACGTAGATGCTGCAGAGCTCGTCCAGCAGCCGGGGGAGGGTCACTTTGTCGGGAAGTGCGTGGTTGCGGTCACGGAAGATCGCCTTCACCTGGTCCAGAGCATCGGGAGACGTGAGGTCTGGCAGCTTCTGCTCGATGCTCTGCTCGATAGAGGTGATGAAGTCGAGTCGGCGGAAGGGCGCAGAGAAGTTGAGATGGGAAAACGGCAGAGGTGTGTCTTCCTGATTAGGCTTCTTGAAGGGGGACGATTTGTGGAAAGCAGTAAGGTGTTCAGCCAGGCCCGAAAGTAGCTGCTCGGTCGTGGTCATGAGATCCTCCAGGTTGGCGTAGGCGTGGTAGAACTCGCAAGTGGTAAACTCGGGATTGTGGGTTTTGTCGAGGCCTGTCACTATAGTCAGTACTCGCTCAAGCACTTCGACCGACAAATAATACCTTCATTGCGGAACGAAGGTCCAATCTCAAAAACCCGATCAAACCCTCCTACCACCAACCTCTTCAGCCAGAGTTCTGGCGCAATCCGTAGCGACAATTGACGATCCGGGAACTCAGTGGCTGTAGTATGGAATGGACGAGCAATTGCACCGCCAGCAACCGCTTCAATAATAGGCGTATTAACCTCCATAAAAGACCGGTCGACAAAGAACCGGCGAAGATACTGGACAACTGCCGATCTAGCTCTGATGACATTTACTGTCTCCGGGTCCGCAAGGAACTGAACATGTCGGGGATACGGCGAGTTCTCCTGCCCCTGGGCATCAACCGGAATATCATGCAGACAGGGCGACAGCAGCTGCGGCAATTCAGTCGCCAGGAGCGTAAGCTCGCCTCGTTCAGTCCGGTGAGGATTACCCGTTACGGCTATAGGCTATCGTTCAGTCTAAGCAGGATACTAAGGACGGCTGGTGGAACATACAGAAGGCATCGCCACGCCGAAGCATCCGGTAGAACTGCTTGAAGGTCGCCGGAGGAATATCCTTCAAACGACGACGATTGCACATAACTTGAATTTTATGGCCATCATGAAGCAAGTCGAAGAATATCAAATTGCCTCCAACAAGTCTTAAGGTACGTACCCTACCTACTGATTTAAGTACGAGACGACATGGTAGAAGCCAGCTAGGCTAGAAACTAGGACCTACCATTAATAACAACTGTATCATCCTCTACTATTTCATTATCTGCTAGATGGCTGTAGCGGCCACGAAATTCCGCACAGCTCACCGTGTTCTTGTTTGACGCGAGCCGGGGATACGGCTCAGCAACAGCCTCTTCGATCAGTTGCACACGCCTCTTGAACGCCTTCTCGGGATACGCATCGACGCTGTTCTGCCTTGTTTGTACCAAAGGTGCATGAGTGTGCTGTATTACTCGAGCAAGCCTGCCAGAAGTCTGGAAAGCCTGCGATGTACGGGAAATCGGAAGTCCTGTCCTGAACATGCCGTTAGCAAACTGTCTAACAGACACAAGCCATGCAATATAAAAACAGAGACAAGATAAATCAGAAGACATAAAGCTTCCTTGTTACTCATAACTTGGAAGATAAACCCCCAAGCTTCAATGCAGCGGTTCTGTAATTGGAAGGGTATGTCTCATCATGCAAGTTGCAGGATAAAGAGGAGCCATTGTGAAAAACACAGCAGAAACATGAAAACTGCTTACCTAGACAAAAGACCTCCAACCCGCAGCGACGACGCCCTCAACGGGCGAATTGGTTGCATTGAGAGTGAAAAGAGAACTACTACGTGCTCACATATTGAGAAAAGGAAGGGAAAAGAGAAAAAGTAAGAGAGCCAAGTTGTGCGGGAAATACGCGTTTGCAAATCCGGCGAAAATTCCTAAGGCGGTGAGGAGCGGCAGCGGCAGGGCCAGCTTCGAATCCCGGCAACTTCAGGTCTGCTCCGGCAGCTCAATTCAGCGCATTCACATCATACTCCTTCTAATACTCATTGATCAACTCTGTTATCACTTGTGAGTGACCGATTTACTCCTGGAATTGCCCGTCTTACATTGAAACCAGCTACTAATTGACTAACCTCAGCTAAACAACACCACCCTCACTACACATCGTCATCATGTCTTTCCTCTTCGGCGGCGCCCCCAAGCTTTCCTCGGAACAGAAGATTGCTGCGGCTGAGACGGAAGTTGAGATGGTCACCGACATGTTCAGCCGGTAAGCTTCTATCATCCTATTTAAATGCTTTGAAGCCGATATTCATCTTCCCCTTCCCAACACCACACCACACCACACCTGCTTCCCGACACCTTATATACTTAACTAACCCAATCATGACCACCAGTCTCACCGAGTCCTGCATCAAGAAGTGCATTCCCAACGACTACCGCGAAGGCGACCTCAACAAGGGCGAGTCCGTCTGCATTGACCGCTGTGTCGGCAAGTTCTTCGAAGTCAACATGAAGGTTAGCGAGAAGATGCAGGGTGAGGCGAACCAGAAGGGCGGCATGGGTGGTTTCGGCATGTAAAGTGCGAGGTCAACGAAACGATTGTTCATCTAATTGGATCTTTTGCTGTTCTTTCATAAAACGGGTATAATCTATTCGGGTTTCAGATCTGTCATGCTTGCTCTTCTGGATGGCTTGTTTTCCTCTGGTCTCTCTTATGGCATGACTGAACAGGAGCGGAAGGCCTGGGTTTTATGCTAATTGGGATGGATGACTTCCGCTCGGACATGGATATACAGGGTTGTTTGGATCTGGGATGGGGGTTTGCTGTTAGCGAAGGCTGGGTCTTTGGCATTGCACGGTCAACGCGAACTGCGCAAGTCTATCTCGGAAATTATGTACATTAGAAATGATATATGTCTACAAGGCTTCTTTCTGGGAACTGAGAATTCGCAGTCACTGTGTTGAGCATCCGGTAATTCTCCCCAACCAGGAGAACCAGGAACTGTCCTGCTTTTCGTGCTCGCCCCGTATCAGCAGCTTGACCCTGTTTTCGATGGCATTTACATGCCGTTCGAATTCGTCGAGGTTGGTTTCGACATCCTCGACACGGGAATCTAGAACATGGAGCTCGTAGTCCAGCTTCGCGCCCATTAGTTCAACCCTCCTCATGTAATCGGTGAGTTGGCTGTGCTCTTCCGTCAACAGATCGCTCGATCTAGCTCTCATCTGTTCAAATGTAGACAGCCGTTCCAGGTAGGCGGCGTTGACCTTTTCGTGACTCTCGTGTAAGCACCGACTGAGGTCATCCACAGAAGATACTTGATGTTCAACCCAAGGTACAGTGTGTTCACTAAGCTCCTGGATACGTGAGCTGAAGATTCGTGCATCTGAGGCTAGAATGTCTTCTTGCATGATGGCCTCTTCCAGAAGGGTATCGGGCTTCTCTTTGAAAGCCTCACCTCCCAAGTCATTCCATCCCAGCACGACCTCTTCGACAGTGCTGAAGGACAGATGGCGGGCCCAGTAGTTATCAAGACGACTGGAGTCTCTCTCCACATTCAGTTCGGTACAGCTCTGCGGTCGACGCAGGAGCATAATACCAACTTCAGATGTCTGCTCCCTAGGGTCGACGGTAATGTCGGTGGAGCGTGTCCTCCAGCGCTCAAGGTCCTGCGCTTCGTCATCTGCTCTGGGTACTGACACCTTACGCGACGACTCCGAATCAGCCTGGGATGGAACCGTTTCTACGGTTATGGCTGGCGCTCTTGATTTGGGTGATTGCGGTAATATTGTCCTTGGAGGAGACTCAACCTGCAAGTCATCCTTCGGGGCCTGGCCTTCAAGGTCCTGCACGTCCACGGATCCGACTGGAGCACCATCAGATTTCTTCGACTGAGACACCTCCGTGTCGCTATCGATGGGAGGCAAATGAGCAGGGTCACCGCCAAGGTCTATGTCATCCCTCGAATGCTTCTGCGGATGGGACCGGAGGCCTACTGCATCCTTGAACCGGCCAAACCCCGCCCGCGCATCTGACACTTTCCCGCTCACACCTTTTCGAACTAACCGGCCCAGATTCTGGTCTTTCTCATCTAAGGACGATGCTGATTCTGGCGGCCTCAATGGACGATCTGAGCTTTGCAGCGCGCGGTCCGCCACTAAATCTTCGTGCGAAGATCGTTTTCGACTTGTCCAAATATGGCCACCCTGATCGTCTGTAGTGAATACCATATCTGCACTCTGTGCACTGCCAGAAAAGCCGTCGTCAATTCCGCCCTTCCGCGGCTTTCCCCGCCACAGCCATTTGGCTCGTTCACCGGTGACCAGGTGTGCGAAGTTGTCAATATCGAGGGTCTCGATATCAGCTATCCCGCCTTTTTCGCGGCCGCGGACCATTCCCATAACCATCTCTCCCCCGTGTCCGCTTAATTCTGCCATGGTTGATTTTACGGCATCGGTCCAGCCTTCTGCATTCGCAGCTTTTGCTGTTACCCGGTGCAGGCGATCCAAGGTCTGTCGATCTAACCTTCGGGTACGTTTCAGCTTCTGTGATTTTTGAAAGCTCCCAATGCCTTTCTTTAGGTTATGAATATCAAACGCATCCTTCCCAACCGGAGCGCCGAAAGCATGTAGCCGGTTTCGCGCCCCCATGAGAGTACCCAGCAGGGCGGCTACTGAGATAGGGCCCAACATAGAATCACTCGGTTCAATGTTGTATAAATCCATACCCGTCTCGGTCCACCAATCATTTATGGCCGCTTCTGTGACATCGCACAGCAGTCCATCAACGTACTCTGGGGCAAGATTGCCAAACATCATCAGGGCGATCTGGCATTGCTTCACAAGCTCTATGACGGCAGTATATAGAGGCACCTTCTCGCTCGTCCGGTAAAGGTGGTGGAACTTTCCCTCGGTAGCGGGCGAGGGTGGCTGTAGCTTCAAACCAGAGCGGCCTGAGCAGCCCAACCGTTTCAGGTTTTCATTGACGATAAAATCATCCTTGTGTTTTAGGACATCACCGTCGGGTACCGGAATAAGAGTCAGTGCCAATGGGAACACGTTAAGATCGGTAACCATAAGTGTTCCTAAAGGTGTTTCCTTCTTCCGCGCTTGGCATTGCGTGACTGCGCCGAAATACATCTTCATACGGAGCGACCACTTAGATTCGTCTGTGGGGACGCTCAGCACCCCCACCACGACCTTGTGCGAAGGATCCCCAGTATAGGTGGTTATTATGAAGGTAGGGTGTATGCGCGTGCAGGCCCATTGTTCAACAATGAAAGCCTCATATCCTTCCAAAGTCAATCGTCGACCTAGCACAACTGCTGAATTATCCTCTTCGAGATATCTGAGGGCAACTGGATCGGTGAATACGAGTCTCTGGTGGCCATGCTGTGGCGACTGTCCCTCGGGACCACTGAGCTGTGTAGACGGTACATCTTTCGTGTTGATGGAGTGTTTTGCCAACTCGCGGGGGGCCGACGTAGGAGGCGGTGCTTGGCCACCTGTCTGCGTTGCGGGAGGTGGCATGGTTAAGACGGGCAATTCTTTAGCACATAAGGGGTGTATATATGGTGCTTCCACTATGAGAGTGTACGTGAGTTCAAGAAATCTGAAGAAGAGGAAATCAGGAGGCCGTGCTCAAATAAAGGCGAAAGAGACAGAAGCGTTGACCCTCCGGGGGTCTTGTTGTATTGTACAGAGGTCAAGAAGAACCGTAACATATCCGAGGTTGAAGGAGCTAGGAGCTTTAAAACGTCAAGCACGGATGTGACAAGCCGGGTTAAGGGCTGTCCATGTCATGTCAGATCATTTGAAGGAGAAAGTAGAAGCACAAGCCTGGCCGAGAGGTGGTTGTTGTTACCGGCATGTGCAGCGACTTCAGTTGGCGACGTCACAAGGGATTCCCACCAGACCTGGAGCGGTGAGCGGCTAAGCCATCATCGCCCTGATTTTGGGGGCCACTTTGGTCCAACAGACCCCACGGAATAGACTGTGTATATCCGAAACTAGCAGGTGTCTCAATGCCATTAAGATAGATACAGAATAACGCGACGGTATATGGTTAGTCTTACGATCCCTGAGGGTAAGCGTGAGAGCGCTGTTACCATTCTAGAACACTACCCTACATCTACTCATCTAGACCAATCAATTCTGCATGAAACGCAGCTGCCTAGGTGCATTCAGCCACAACTCAATCGTTCCTCAGCACTGCCACAAGAGCCCTATGGGAGCAGCCGTGGCGAGTGGGCACACACTGGACGCGTCCCGCCTAAGTACCCAGTGATACGGCCCGAGTCGCGCATGTGCAGCGAACAACTGGATTCATTCACATGTAGCAGGCAGCATAGGTGTCTAGCATATCATCTATTGGATAATAATTTTTCTACAAGTGATTAGGCTCTCTTCTCTCCAGGCCTCCACAAGGGAGACAACAGCAGTGAAAAGAAGACCAATCTCGAGTACTACCCAAATGAACTAACGCAAGGGCAACAGCAGCGCCGTCTAAGTACTCTTGAACCGTCTCCAAATTTTGGAGACATGGCATCTTTTTTTTCAAAAATTCCTCCCCGATCCGAAGACCAAGGAGAGCGGTCAAACTAGGTAGTTTTCAACTAGCAAAAACACGGTCTCGGATGTCTCCTCACTGACACGTGTAAAACCCGTGCACCAGGATGGAGAAAGAAAGAAAGAAAAAGTCCAAAAGATGGGCGGGTGCGCTGAGCTTATATAGTGCCGCGGCGGGGACCCACCGGGTGAGCTAGCGTAAGCGAGGCTCCATGTTTGGCTGTGATTGGTCAGAAGCTGTCTGTATGATCCTACGGAGTACAGTGACTATTCTGCTTCACGAGGAAGTTACCGATACCCTTTCACAATCATATAGGAATAATCCATATTTTCGTGTCTGCTCAATCTGGCAATATCCACTGTGCCGGTCAAACTTGGTGTATGTGGGTTCCTGAGCGAGTCGGGTGCAGTCCATCGATATCTAAGCCATGTACTGCCATGCGGGAAACCCACTACTGTCACCTTGGAACTACTACTACCGGACCCAGTCATATTCCCGAACATAACGAGCTTGGTTGGATGGCTTGATAACTACGAAAAAGTGACTGCGCTTTGAGTTGGCATCTTGGCATCTTTGAATGAGCCGTACATGTTGCTACACGAAGGCATACCTAGACCCTATGAGTGCTATGCTGTGGTGGACATCGAGGCTTTACAACAGTTGTGAATAGATATCCTTCAGCGCGGGCAGAGCTACTTCACCGCGACAAAAAGTGAGACTTGCCTAGACTAATCACTCGTTCTCGCCACATATCTGGAAGCCTGTCCAAAATTAAGGGCCGCAGAGGAGAGACACCACGTTGACAAAGAAGGCGTATGGAGGGACACCTTTGTTGTGGTCCCTTCTAAATGTCTCTCACTGAATTCGCAGTTGATATTGGCTTTTGATTCGAAGGTACGGAGATATGCCTATCTCCTTGGGCCTTGGTAGTGCAGACGACAGGTACCTGCTAAGGCTCTAGAAACGAAGCAGACCAGTGTGGTTAGCGAGCGTGTGCTTCGATCACCCGATTTCGCAGGACAAAGAGGGCCTGAAAGACTGAGTGGGTGGGAAGCGTCCAGTATGATTCGAGCATGGTCTCTGACAAGTGGAGCAGAGGCATTCATACAGGCTGTTCGGGTAAGGCACGGATCTCTACTTGCTCAGTGACTCGGGTTCTCTTCTTGACTCGTTGGTTGGTTAGCTACTTGTGAGCTGGCAACGTAAGGCGGCATCTCGTTGCATTAGTGAGGGGGAAAGCAATTTCAGAGTGTGACTGGAAATCCGAGGCCGTACTCATTGCGAGTTCATTATTCAAATCACTATTGAAGTTCAGTGACAGCCAGAAGCTTAGCGTCTTAAAAGGGATACTAGGATTCACGAATGACCTTTGTTTAGTAGACAGCAATCAGTTATAGATTGCATTGGAGTGATCTAGATCATGTCATTGGGCAAAGTTGACTGCAAACGGGCTGCGGGCGGGGCACCCGGATAGATGCACGTGATGGTTCATGTCGTAATTGGGCTGGTTGCCGCTCCGTTCTCCTCCTCACCTGCCCATATGCTCCGATGACCTGGAGAAGAAGGCGACTCTATTTTATTCGAGTATTTCCCTTACAATTTCGTTGTCGAGCTTCACATTCTTATTTCAGATCTTGCGGTGAGCAGCACAACCATCAGAATCACCTACATATGGCTGCAACGATTGCCTAGTGAAGGTGCGGTAACTGTCGGACACCGCTTTCCCGTCTGCCCCGTCATGGAGCTGGTGCAGAAAGAGCACGACCGGCTTTCCAAGAAGATCAAGGCCGGTCAAGGTATCAAGAACGTGCAGTCTACCATAGATTTGCTTCAGTCGGCACGAGATGCAATTGCTGCAGGTGCGTGTGCCTCGTCGGACGTTGCGCGGGCCTTGATCCTGGAACTATACTGATCACGCGGACAATCCCAGATCCCAGTCAAGCATCCATTACACTGGCTAAGCTCCAGAATCCCGTCAAATCATCTTTTGATTCTATCAACGATAGTCTTAAAGAAACACACAGTGGTCTGAACAAATACTCCAAATCGTTAGATAAGGTAGCACGCGTCGGATTCCTATGGTGAATGGCATATGTTGACTACTTCACTGTCGCAGTTATTCAAAGACCGGCCTTTGCCGAGCACCGAACACGATGTCCTTTCCTCCCAAGAACACCTTATCAACAGAGCTATCGCCATGCACCTTCTCCGAGAAGGACAGTTTTCCGTTGCATCAGAGTTCCTGAACGAAATGGCACAAAAGAAAGCGATGAAGAAGCAGCAGGAAGGAGATATAGGGGCTATAGACAATGCGGCCTCGCTCTTAGATCTCGACGAAGTTCCGCCGGGCGAAGTGCGGCAACAGTTCCACACTATGTACCACATTCTTCATGAGCTGAAGGAAAACAACAACCTGCTGCCGGCAATACAGTGGTCCAGGGAGAACAAGGAGGCTTTGGAGGCGAGGGGTAGTAACCTTGAGTTTGAATTGTGCAGGCTGCAATTCGTCTGGCTTTTCTACGGCGGACAACATCAGCAAGGACCCAGTCCGGGTGGGCGGCAGGCAGCTTTGGAATATGGCAGGCGTGAATTCCACACATTCTTGCCCAGGTATCTGCGCGAGGTCCAGCAGCTCATGGGTGCAATGGCCTTTTGCCCCAATCTGCGAGACTCCCCGTACAACCATATCTTCAACAACCCGTCGGCATGGTCCGATGTGGCACACTCATTCACGCGAGAGTTTTGCTCGCTACTCGGATTGTCGGCAGATTCGCCCCTATATGTTGCTGCTACTGCTGGTGCCATAGCGCTGCCGACGCTGTTGAAGCTGCAGACCATCATGAAAGCCAAACGGACCGAGTGGACCACGGAGAATGAGCTCCCGGTAAGTCAAGTTGATGCGGACATGTCTGACGGTTCATGAGCTGACTGGTACGCCGTATAGGTCGAGATCCCGCTACCCCCGTCTTATCTCTTCCATTCTATCTTTGTATGTCCCGTATCAAAGGAGCAAACTACGGATGAGAATCCTCCCATGATGATGCCCTGTGGGCATGTTATCGCGGAGGAGTCACTCAAACGGTTGTGCAAGGGTAGCCGATTCAAGTGCCCTTACTGTCCGAGTGAGAGTCATCCTCGGGAGGCGAGAAAGGTTTTCCTCTAGTTGGACCGACAGGGTCGGTTCAGCAGATATAGCGGACATAAGTGCAGGCACATCTCCACACCGCAACGGGCGTCGGTTACACAATTTGCAAGCAGGCGTTAGGGTATGGGCGTACTTAGGTTGGGCAGGCTCAGGACCTAGGGTTGTACATGGTTGTACATAACGCAACGTTTCGTTACTATGCTTGAAAGGATATAATATTATCAGCGTTTTGTCGCCCAGTGTATTGGCGGGGTAGGAATCTGAGCTATCAGCTTCTGGGAGATCAAACGCCTTAGGTTCCAGCTTAGAAAGGACAAGACTAACCATCTCACAGTGAAAGGCTGTCTTCAGGAGATGCAAGCGGGTCCCTGCATGCGAAATTAAACTGTCTTACGGTGTCGTGTGTATTCTCAAGGAGCGGCTGTTGATGCAACCGGTCCAACGGTATGACAGACAAATGATTCCTAGATGGACTCATGAGTCACGGATGGTGAATTCCGCCCATCCGCACCAACTGGACACGACGAGCCATGCTTTTGCGTTTAGTCAACGAGTAGTAATGACCAGGAAGAACCCTGTCCCCGCTGGCCATACAAACCATAGCTATCCACAAACTTGGATGCATCGAATCTCTGCGCCGATCGCGGGTGTGGACGGAACGAAGAATGCCGGGCTGATTCGCTCTGGCGTCTCCAAGTCTCCACCTCCCAATCTCCCCCCTTGAAGCCATCATTGGCCAATGGCTCTCCCGTGACTGCGCGATCATTTGGCGATGCACAAAAAACCACTTTACGCGTCAATTACTAGCAGTACCTGCCGTTACGCGTTCGCTGCTCTTCCCCTCTCCATGTCCCCTCCTGCATAGAGAGGAACATGCATCCTGGTCGAGTTGATCTATAATGCGTCAAATTCGACCAGGATCTGGAGATAAAAGGGCTGGAGACTTTTCCCTCGTTCTCCTTCCTCTGCGAGGAGAAAGGATGGCCTGTGCTTGTGTTTCAGCAACCCCCTTTCCAGAGACAAAGAAGGCACTCCAAATAGGAGAGGTCAAACATACATGTATCTGTCCAGTTCTTACCATCTCTTTCTCTACCATCGAGTATCCTACAGTACTACCACTAGTTTTATAATCGCAAGGAACCCCTGAATTCCATCTCCAGGGTCAAGTTCTTTTCTCCCCAGCTACTATTCCATCCCATATCCCCCCAAATCCCCTCCCTCACAATGCTATCCCAACAGCAACAACCACAGCAGCAGCAGGGCCTCCATCGCCCTAGCCCCAGAGTCCTCTCCACAAAACGCCTACATTCCCACCACCCAGATAGCTTCTCCTCCAGGTACCGAGCCGGCAAGGCCAAACCCCGATCTCGCGAACAATCAGTCGTCGCATCACGACGTCTCCATCGCAGCAGACACACCCCCGACACACCCCCAGATGGAAGGTTCTTACACCCCTCTCCCTATCCCATCTCAGTAAAAAAAAAATCAAAATCACCCACTAACCCTTAGACCCAATTCCACCCAAATAGCAACTCATCCCTCTCCCACGGCGTAATAACCCTCACTATCGGCCCAACCAAACGCCTCTTCGCCGCACACAAAGACATCCTCTGCGTCTCGCCCTACTTCGCAGCCCTCTGCAATCCCCCCAGCAATGATACCTCCTCTTCCTCTCCTTCTTCTTCCCCTTCGTCCTCACCAAGCCCCATCAAATCCATGAAAACAATCGACCTCCCCGACGAACAACCCGAAATCTTCTCCTGCGTCCTCGAATATCTCTATCGCGGCGACTACTACCCCCGTCTCCGCCACGACAAATCCACCAACACATGGGACTTGGAAACAACAACCTCCTCCTCATCCTCCACCCCTAATTCCAGAAGTAAAACTACCACTAATACCAAAGACACCACCGACCCCAGCGCCATCATCTTCCACCCAGCCGTAGGAGCCGAAATCCTCCGCGACACCGCAGTATAGTACGTCAACCAACCCCTTCCTCCCAAGACAAATTCTCAATCAATAACCCCCCCCCCAATCCCATGTTAACACAAGAAACTGTACTGTATAGCTGCGCAGCCGAGAAATACTCCCTCGAGCATCTCAAACGCCTCTCGTTGAAAAAGCAAGGCCTCCACTCCAACATCCCCTGCCACATTATCCTGAGCAGTGCGCGGTACGCGTACATGCACACGCCGGATACGGAGAGTAAGCTGCGGGCGCATTATCTGGCGCTGATCATACGCAGTCGGGGAACGTTTAAGCGGAGTGGGACGATGCAGATGGAGATGGAACGTGGGGGGAAGTTGTTTTTTGATTTGTTTGTGGCGATGTGTAATCATATGGTGAGTTCTGATTTCTCTTTTTTGCAATGTGAAAGGGTGTGTGTGTGTGTGTGTGTGTGTGTGTGTGTGTGTGTGTGTGTGTGGAGGGCTAATGTGGGTGGTTTACTATAGGATGATCTTGAGGAGGCGGCGAGGGGTGAAGGGACATGTTAGTGATATATGCAGCCCGGCTGGTTTGGGCGGATTGTTCTATTTGGTATAATGTATTGGGAGGGGATGACATTGTTGTGTTGGGATGGATTAGTAGTGTATGCTATGTATTGCTTGATGCGATGTTTGTATAGTAATGTGTCTGTTATGGGGATTTATACAGAAATGCGAGATTGTATCTGTCATGAAGTCATGTGGTGTTTATTATCGGTCTATCATGGTATAAATTTACAGCGTTTTCAGCTTGAACCAGGCAGTAGAGGCATGTCACCAGTACTAACTGTACGACTTGCACAACTGCGGGCATACCGTCCGTTCATGTACCAGCGCCGTTGGAGGTATGGGTCCTGTAAGCGGTCATCTATGATATGCATGCTGCACGGGAGCTGCTCAAAGGCCTGTTGGAGCGCATGTAATACAGGCGGGTCAGCGCTGCAGACGTCCCTGCCATAGCCGTGATCTTGAAGGCTCTCGGGTAATGCCCTTCGGGCGATGGTATACTGGTGACCCGATACTGTTCGATAAGTGTGATAGGCCGTCACCGAAGATGCGATGACGGATGATAGTAGAGCTAAACCCCCGTTCCAGGGAATGCGGTGCCACCTTTGCTCAATACAACCATGCCGCGTTCACGGGCAATGTATCCTTTCATCAATCCCTACAACTCTTGTCAGCTTGGTGTTTCGACGGTTTACGGGCATCTTAATGCGCACCTTGTAGATAAGGTTTGACAGCAGACACTCAACCTCATCAATGTCTACGCGGGACCGATCATCGGCATGAGTACCGATCCTTAATGCTGCTGCAAACTCGGCAACGGGAACCCGTGTGCGACGAATGGGAGGTTGTCCTTCCTTGGGTTCGTCGAATCCACCGGCGATGAAGACCTTGCGGAAGAGGTTCCGTAAAGCGATATCGCGTCCCCTTTCCAGGGGTAAGTATATGCGCCTCTTGACGAATTCTTCCTCTCCGGCTGTCATCGCGGCATCAAACCCGCCCAGGTCTCCCTTTTTGATACAGTCGCACAATGGACGGAAGAGCTTCTCTACACGAGGGAACGGTGCAAGAAGCTTTTTGCTGGGCAATGTGTGTGTGGTGACAAGATGGCAGGGAACGAGGTAGGTGAGAATCAACCTGGAAGTAGTCAGCAATATAGCACGAAGACGACATGTATACTACTGACTCTCTATTCTTCGTCGCAGCTTTGTTACACATCCTCCATGCGTACGACAGATGCTCTTCAGCCTATTAAACCCAGCTATTAGCAACAGAACCCAAAACAGGTGACGGAAGCACATACTTCGGCATAATTTTCATCCAGAAAGTGTATAACACCGACGTAGTACTCAAAGGTGACAATATGAGACTTGGGAAAGGCGTCCAAGCCGGGAAGGTCGGCAGATGAGGCATTGAGGGCACGCAGCAAGTTCTTGGAAAGGCCAACGGTGTTGAGTCTGAAGTATGTCTTGAACAGTAGGTTTGTAGTGTCGTAGATGCCCCATTTTCGTGATTCCTCGATCGGTGCCCTAAACAACCTTAGCATGGTATGTCCACAACACTTCCGAAAATAGCTTACCGGTCACTTAGACATAAAGTAAACATCCTGTTGAGCACCCGTGTAGCTTCCTCCAGCTTTGGGTTCTTGGCATCCGTCGCATCATCTTGAAAGCGATCGTCGAAAGTGACGGAGTCTTGGGCAGAAAGCTCAGCATCGGCCTTCATGGCGAAGGCCCGCAAATATCTTCCGACAGAGTACAAGCATGGCACCGTCCAAGCTTGCAGACTGCCTGTCGAGTAGCCCCTAATCAATTGATTTGCCGTATCCTTCCACGCATCGAACACTTTCACCCAACTAGCATGTCTGGGGGAGTCGTCGAATCGAACTATCTCCCCCACGGCTTTCCAATAAGCGGTAAAGATATCGACCCATGAGTTCTGTTCTTGCTTGGGAAGCCTCAGGCCATTTGCTTGGAAGAGCGAGTATCGGAGGTCGGCGGAAACATGTACGGCGTCAGAGAAGTAGTAGAATGACTTCAGACGGTCGGGGTACTCCGCAGTCGCGACGGGGGAGAGAGATGCCGCCAGGCGGGCGCCAGAGCCGATCTTCTGGCCCTCCTTGAAATCATCGAAGATGTTGGACATGGTTGATGACTGCAAGAATGTAGAGGTAGGTCGCGGGGAAGGAGGGGAAAGGTTCAACAGCGGACATGCATTCACGGCGATCGTACGTCCGAGCCACGGAGACCAACAATCGGCGTCACTGACAGGAGTTCCAGGTCCATGAAGCCAGCCGCGGACGCGATCGGGCGAAGGTGGGGAAACTGCGGCGCCGCTCAGGGAATCCGTCTTATCTAATCACTGCTGCCACCTTGGCTGTGGCTAGTGTTCCAAAACAGGCAAGGTGGATAACCAAGCCACACGGTCGCTTAGCCCTAAGCAGGGCTAAACCTAGCTCACAATCAACTGTTCCAAAAATCCTCCTTTCCGCGACGAGTCCAGCAGCCGGCACACCTCTCGTCGACTAACCACTACAGCGTCAACAATCAAAGTAAGCCCAACCTTTTTGATCTGCTCATCGACATATTGAACTTGTTACTGACTGAATTTACCAGATGGGTGAGTGAAATTTTCCAGAATTCCAATATTGTTTCCCAATGGTGGATCGGCTTTTGCGATGTTCCCCCTGCGATCGTTGAACGACTTTTTACGGCATCATTCTATCTCGGCGACATCGGATCGTACAAATCTTGATTGAAATTGGATTGGACTCGATCGGAAGCAAGATTGATGGGTGGATTATTCAACTTCGGACGACTGATATGGGAGGACGAAAATTTCGATATCGTGGCGCACACATGAAATAATCGCAGAAGTATCGGCAACTCGCACAACCGTCAACAACGTTTCGCACGGAATATACGCAACGACTGAAACCATTGCACGAGGCAGTTCTCATCGGATAGGAGGACATGGCTGACTGGGATCCATAGGGCGTCTCACCGAGTACCAGGTCATTGGGCGTCACCTGCCCACCGAGGCTAACCCCACGCCCAAGCTGTACCGCATGCGCATCTTTGCGCCCAACACTGTTGTCGCTAAGTCCCGGTTCTGGTACTTCCTGACCCAGCTCCGCAAGGTCAAGAAGGCCAACGGTGAGATCGTCAGCATCAATGTGGTATGTGTGGCCGTTACAAAGCGACAAGTTGGCAGTGTTGGCTGACGCCTGTCTTTTTTCTCCTCCAATAGATCAGCGAGAAGCGCCCTACCAAGGTCAAGAACTTCGGTATCTGGCTCCGCTACGACTCCCGCTCCGGCACCCACAACATGTACAAGGAGTTCCGTGAGATGAGCCGCACCGAGGCTGTTGAGGCTCTCTACCAGGACATGGCTGCCCGTCACCGTGCCCGCTTCGGCTCCATCCACGTACGTTGAGATTCCTATCCTCTTTTTGCCGAGGAGCACTGCGATCTAACTACGTGCCTACAGATCCTTAAGGTTGTTGAGATCGAGAACGCCGACAGCATCCGCCGCCCCTACATCAAGCAGCTCCTCTCCAAGAACCTCAAGTTCCCCCTGCCCCACCGTGCTGCCAACAGCAAGAAGGTGTTCGCTTACTCTCGTCCCTCTACTTTCGCGTAAATGTGACGTTTTGGGTTTGGGTGATCGGAGTGTGTGGATGAATGACTATGTTATGGCCATAGCATGCACGAAGGACACGGAGCACGCGGACAGGGCGTGTTTCCTCAACCCAGGTAATGGGACGGATGGTTTTTATGTCTCTTTAAGTCCTCTGCAGCGACCCTTTCAAGTTATATCAAAAAATACCGGGGTATTGTTTCTGTTTATTCTTGGACGGGGCATAGCGTACTGTAGACATCGTAGAACGCTTTGCGTAGTGCTGGTCCTGCTATTCCACGAGGATCGAAATTCTTACCATAACCTACATCTGGAACCCACAATTTGGGGGTTTTCGATATATGTATGCAACAATCATCTATTAATGCTTCCCCAGATTGTTTGCCAGTTGGGTTTATCTAATACCTGCAAATATAGGCTAGCATGCGGAACGTTATTTTTTTGTTCCAATATTATGGGTATATTTGTGGGACGTTGACAGAGCCTAGTCGCGGTGGCGTTTCTGGCTGGCTCGGGTTTAGCCATGTATATCCGTCGGATGTCGAGGGTGGCAGTGGGAAAACATATAACACGCTTGACATCATGGCTTCTTGCATCAATGACTTTGTTATCTTCCAGGTATTAGTGGCACTTACGTGTGTCTAGTCTATTCACTTGATCTGGGGCCAGTCATTCCACTACAAACCTTTGACAAACTAGCCTCTAGAACGACGGCTTGCGGGCAAGAGATCCTGCTAGGCATTGGGCGTACATACACAGTACAGCAATTATTCTTGCGTTCTAGACTGCCATGTCTAGAATAATTTCAGCTAGGCAGGGATTCGGTCAAGTATCTACAGAAACTTGGTTTGATTCCAGGTATGAATTTATCCGCTGGCGCTCGGCCATATTGCAGGTAGTATATGTTCTGTAAGGGAGGCCAGTGAGTCAGGCCATCGGGCTGCCTGGGTCATTTCAGGAGAGTTTTATAATAGTGTGCGGTTCACAAGGCCAGATGTATAACCCCAGTATAGAGCACCCAATCTTCTATCCATCGACAAAAGTTACATAAAGATGGAGATGTTCGATCAAATGTCAGATTGTAATTAGTAAAACGCCAGGCACGCGAGCGGCCCCATTGCGTCATGTGCGGAAACGGCGTCTCGGAGTCCGAGAGGGAGGAGCTTGAGACTGGTAGTAATTACCTTTGCCGAAGGTCCTCTTCCCTCCGCTCTTGCTCCCTTGACCTTTCCTCTTCCTCTCACCACCCATTGAGCACGCATTTGTGTCTGTCATTCATTCAAAATGTTCGCTCGTCAAGCTTTCCGCTGCGCTCAGCCCCTCAAGCAGGTATGCTTCATCCCTCTTCACCTGAGCGCTGTTATTTT